TTCTTCAACTCTTCCCAAATTTCGACATGATGTCATGTCCAGTCCCCCCCCCATGTTCTCCACGGTCCACTAACCCGCCCACAAACTAAGTTAACTACAGACTCGTGGTCTGTCCTGCAGGGTCCCGAAATGCGGATTGATTGGAAACAGCCAGTACGCGATGCACAACCGAAGAAAGTTAATAGATTCTGCACTTGCGAACGCTCAATCTGAGAAAGAGAAAGAACAAGAAAGCAGAACAAAGCAGAACAAAACATCCACTTGCCGCCCCCTACATGGGTCTATACACTAAACTCGAGCCGATTGCCCGCAAAGTCTCGGGCAAAGAACCGACGCGGATATTCCTCCCCCGTCGGACCCGAGCACATTCCCAACCGATCTACATCCATCGGAGCCGCGGGGCCTCCGCTTTCTTGATGCGCTAGGATGCGTTTTTGCAGCGTCTGTAACTCATCCAGCGAGGAGACGCGCAGGCAGGCGTGCCGCTGGGAGTCGAGCTCGGGGTTAGGACCCAGGTTGACGTGGATTTGTTGACTTCCATCGGGGGTAAGGTTAAACCTTCTCCAGTAAGCAAATGGATCGCGGTATTCTAAGCTGTTGAGAGATCGGGACGCACCAAAGGATGGTCCCCTTCTGAAGCTCGGGAACGGGGGCTGATTCTAGGCCGAGAGTGTCGCTGTAGAACTCGGTGGCTTGGTCCAGGGTGCCATCGGGCACGAGAATATTGACGTGATGAATGCCGGAGATCATTGTGCGGAGACGGGTTTCAGAAAGGAATTATTCGTCTTTCAGGTGGTGGTTGGACCAGAGGGGGTCAATGTTATTATATATCGGTAACGTGAGGGGTCGGAGGGGTTATTGATTGAAGGCGAAACAATTGTGGATGAAGTCATGCAGACCCCGCATGCCACCTTTACTTATATATCCTGGTGACTGACTTAACACGAGCCATGGACCAAAGTGGAAGCATTTCCCGCCGAGGTGGAACAGCGTGAGTGTCTCGGAATCCCTTTTCCTGGGATAATTCCCCGCGGGGTAATGTCGTATCTAATCATCGCACATCGTGTTTGTTATGTACCGTATGTTTGTGCTATACTTAGCATGTCAAATGCTTCGGACTATTATCCGTGCAGCTCCCCATGCGGGGATGAAAGGTAGTAAGTAATTCGAGCAGAAATGAACTAACATGGAGTTAAGTTGCTATAACGATGGAGTGTAGGGCCTCTCGGTCTTTGTTTGTGAGAAGCCGACACAGGGACGGGGTTGGATTTACCTGCGGGCCGAAGCCGACTCTTATACCAAGAGCTTGTGTCTGGTACAGGAGATGCCTACCTATTCACCTGGGGCCGGTGATAATATAAGTACAGTACATACATTCTGGGTGGTGTGGCGGGTACATGTAGCAGCACTCAGCTGGTCTGCGCGCTCTGGTCCCTGAAAGAACTGACTGAAGGTGGAAATGTGGCCACGGAATCAATTCCGCCAGCCGGAGCGGATCAACTCCGGGCACTCAGTACGGTTCCCCCCCATCCCCGATTTTCTCCTCTTTCCCCATCTTCCTCGTTATATTCCAACTGCTCTCCGGATCTACACAACATCTTTCTTATCTTCTTCTCTGACATTGTTCCGGATCATACGATCCTAATCAGCAATCAGCGACCAGACTGATTATTGGAAGAAAAGATTGTCTTTTCCAGCAATCCCCTAGGCTGCTCAGCCACGTGCAGCTGCGGTGGAGGTGGACTGGGCTCGGCGCTACTGGCCTTCGAGCTGCTTCACAATGATGCATTGCTCCCAATGAGTGGATTTCTCATGCACTGACTATCGATCTGTGTATGCTTGACCCGAGTGTATCTGCTTATCTTCTGATTTGGTGCTATACTGATGGTTCCTGGCTGGCCCCCAGACTCCCTCAACTCAGCCTGATGCCGAGTACCCGATGATGTGCTTCCCGTCTGGATCCACTCGCAGCCGTGGTCGCTCACCTCTGCGGAATTAACAATTAACACCTGTTGCCTGCCTGCCACATTGACTTACCTCACTCGACTCGACGATGGTGAAATCCAAGCGATTGATCCACGAAATGACTATGACTCCGTTTCTTCCCGCGGCCGGGCTTTACCCGTATTCAGCGCAGCTGGCACCCTGGCGATAAGTGGTGGATTGCCACTCTCGGAACTCGCAAGATACGCACTATGGATCTCGAGATAATGGCCCCGTCTGCCCCGTCTCTGACCCACTTCAACCGGCATCGGCATCCGGGAGGAAAACTTTTTGAACGAGGGAAGAGACGAAAAACCGGTCAGCTTGCCAGGACCTAGCTCCTTTTAAATGATTCTTTGGCCCCCATTGGGCCGTGGTGTCCTGCTCATTCCTGTCTCTCGCCGTCGTCGCCATAAGGAAATTCCTCACGGGCACAGATTTTGAACTGTGAACATGAGTCAAGTTCCTGCCGAGAAGTATGACCTCGAGGCCGAGGACGCTTCCTCGGTCTCGGACCATTTCGCCAGGTCTTCCCGGCGCGATTCTCGGGCGGAGTACCCGGACCACCATGATACCATTGAGCTGGAACGAATCAACACCTACCGTTTGCAACAACAACTCACGGTCGGATCTAATCGTAGTCGTACCCCGCGTGAACAATGGCTCCCCATGGGTGCCGGAAAGCCCTATCCGCCCGCCCTTCCGGACTCGGAGGCGTATGTGGTGGAGTTTGACGGAGCCGATGACCCCATGCACCCCCAGAATTGGCCCCTCAAGCGGAGGTACGGCACGTCTTATTTGCCGTGTGCTTATACCTGCTAATGCTTTCCTAGAGTCATGATCGCTTCTCTATTGACCTTCTGTGCCTTGGTCACCGCTTTCGCCAGCGCGGTTTTCGCAACGGCGGCCTCAAAGGTCGAGAAAGCCTTCGGGTTTGGTTCCGAAGTTGCCGCTCTGGGCACGACTCTCTACGTACTGGGGTTCTCGGCTGGCCCGACTGTATGGGCGCCCTGCTCCGAATTGCTCGGTCGGCGATGGCCATTGATGATTGGCATGTTCGGATTTGACATCTTCACCATCGCTTGCGCGACGGCTAAAGATACGCAAACCGTCATGCTGACCCGCTTTTTCTCGGGATTCTGTGCGGCCAGCGTCATCGCCCTGGTCCCTGCCAGTCTTTCCGATCTCTTCAACAATGAACAACGAGGAATTGCGATTGCCATGTATACGATGTCCGTATTCACAGGACCATTTACTGCACCTTTCGTCGGTGGCTTCATTACCGAGAGCTATCTCGGCTGGCGTTGGACCCTCTATTTGCCTGCTATCGTCGGATTCTTCAGTCTGATCTTGATGATAGTTTTCTGTGAAGAGACATACGCCCCTGTCATTTTAGTACAGAAGGCAGCTATCCTCAGACGCCAAACTCGGAACTGGGGCATCCACGCACGCCAGGCTGAATTGGAAATCGACCTGAAGGAGTTGGTGACGAAGAATCTGGCCCGCCCGTTCTTGATTCTCTTCACCGAACCGATTGCCTTCCTGCTTACTTTGTATATGTCTTTCATTTATGGGTTAGCGTATGCCTTGCTCGAGGCATACCCGATTGTGTTCTCCGGCACCTATGGTATGACTGGAGGCGTGGCCGGTTTACCCTTCATTGGCCTGATTATCGGAGAAGTATCTGGCAGCGCTTTTGTCTTATCCATGCAAGGGTCGTATACTCGGAAGCTGAAGGCCAACAACAATGTACCCGTTCCCGAATGGCGGCTGCTGCCATGTATTGTCGGTGGTGTGGCATTTGCAGGGGGCTTGTTCTGGTAAGAACCGTCGTCCTGTCATGGTTCATCGCGTGCTAACAGATAATGCAGGTTTGGTTGGACAGGCTGGAACAGCTCGATTCACTGGATGGCTCCTACGGCCGCCGGAGTCATGGTCGGGTTTGGAATTACTTCAATTTTCATGCAAGGATTCAATTATCTGCTGGACTCGTATTTGCAATTGTAAGCTAACCTTCCGAGCTCGCTTTCCATGAACGCATTCACTAACCCATTGCAGTGCTGCGTCGGCTTTCGCAGCCAATACTATGATGCGGTCCATGGTAGGGGCAGTCTTTCCTCTCTTCACGGAGCAGATGTTCCATAATCTAGGCATCCAGTGGGCCGGTACCTTGCTTGGGTGCATTGCGGTGGTGATGATTCCGATTCCTATACTCTTCTACGTGTACGGCCCACGTCTACGAAGGAAGAGTAAGCTGGCGCCGCTTGTGGAGCCAGCGGAACAGCTGAAGGAGGCATAGGGCAGACGGAATGTGAAACTCAATTAGATTAATAGACCCTTTGTGCAGCAGTGGACTGCCCTTCCAGCCACACCAGATACGATCACAAGCCAACGATGCGCATCAGCTCAGCAAGAACTGGAACGTGCGTCAAAATCGAAGCAAAAATGATGAAACTTCGTACGGTTCGGAAATCCAACTATTATCTTTGCCTCTTTCATCAGACAAGATGTGGCGTTGCTATGTAGGGGCTGCTTCTCGAACTTTAACCGCCGGCCATCGTCGGGGTCAAAGCCTTCAGGCCCGTCTCTCCTTCTGCGGGAGCTGAAGAAATGGATTAAACTTTGATCTACAATGGCTGCAGATTTCATCTTTCACGACATGGCGTGGATACCATTGCTCGAGACTGCGAAACCCAGGCTTGGACTAGAGAATACTTTGCCTTAACGGAAGGATTTAACATACAAGCCTCAGCAAAGGTGCCGTATTGAGATGCGGGGTACGAGAGAGAAAATCAAAACAGTAGTTTGGAAAGCAATGCTTTACTATCTACCCCCGCCGCAAACAATATTCTTGTACGCTTACTACATCTCCATGCTCCCAGTCACCAAGTCATAGGGAAAGCAGAAAGACCGGGGTTGACTGGCTTCTACTGATCCTCTCCAAGCTCGCATCCTTCAAATAAACTGAGACCCTCTCTCATTCTTCTTTCCGTCCCACAGCGATCCCAGCTTAGAACAGACAGACAACACGGCTCATCAACAGGAAACGGACCCCTTCTATTGACGGATGTGAGCTTCGCACATTCCGTGGAAACTTTGGTCAGTGGCGAGCTATTACAGCTGAGCTCCGACCGAATTCGTGTCAAGACCATGTGCTTGCAGTGTTTCAAAAACAATGGGTGTGTTCATGGACGGGAATATTCCTGCCTCCTCAAGACACTCAGTCAGCCCGAAAGCTACCTCTACCGAGGACGTTAGAATTCAATTGCGACTAGGCGTGGCCGGCTTCCCACGGATCAGAAGCACTGCTACAACGGAGTATGTTACACAGGTTGGCTACACAATCATTCCGCTGGGTTGAGAGCGGCCACAGGACCTACTTATATGGGCCGGAGTACCTGTCGAGAGTTTTCCAGCCACCTCGCCAGTCGACCTCGCTGGTTGCATCGAGGCATTGCTTGGGTGATTTGCTTGGATAGACCGGGGGTCCCACGTTTCCAGACCGCACGAGCGAACATGATGGTTTACAAAGTCGAAAGCTTAGTCGAGTTCTCTGATATGGGCGGTGATGAACTGACTGGTTAGAAGGTAGTCCTCTATGACCCTCACATGCTAATGATCGATGGCAGGACCAAAGGCGTCTTTGCGGCCATTTCTCAGCGTCAGCGTCAGGGGTTTACAAGGAGCCAGGGTTGGCCGAGTCAGAGATTTCACTGCTCATTGCCTCCCCCCACAGACAAGATTTCCATGAATGTATGGAGTAGTACTTCAGTTCCCACTGCAACGCCATGTGAGGAACCAATTTCCCAGGAGCCTCTGATTTACCGCCGAGCCGGTTCGAATCTACCAAGTACCAGGATCCGCCCTTTTGAGAACCGGAGCCTTGATCCACCAATCACGAGAAGAGAAATGATCGCACTCAGGTACCCTCTGCACCAGCATTCCCCGTGCAACGTGAGGTGCATTTGTTGTGGTGGTACGCTGGCCCCTGCGTTCCAGGGACATTCCAGAGGGGGTGGGGGGATGGGATCGGGGCGGAAATCAAATCCGCTTCGGCGTTGCGGGATCAACCTTCACCTAGCTGAATTGGGTTGCCATCTATTCACAACGGAGACGGTTGCATCGGTGGCGCCCTGGTCACGAGATTTTGGCAATGATAGACAGAAGATCGCATTAATGCAGAGATGATATCACCTCGACTCTCCTGGTCATGTGTCTGCCTGTCGAATGGTGGCTGCAAGCAATGTTGGTGACCGCAACGGCCGCTTCGGCATCCTCTTCTTACTCGTACCTCAATCGCGGAGATCACTAATCTCCAAGAGCAACCCGGGGGAGTAGACCTGGTCAACGAGGCCCATTCCAAGCTCCATCCCTCTCGGGAGGCGGCGATCGTCCGTTTGGGGCCGTGCCCAGCATTCCTGAAATCGAGGCGGCTGGGCACCGCAGACGGCGCTGGATGGAGGAACATGGTCGGAATCACAGTGCCATATATTGCGCCAGTCCTTAGAGTCTCGATGGCTCTGAACTCTATTACCGATTCACTTTCATCCCCCGGGACGGTGCACATGAGGAAGCTTGGCGACCAAACCCCGATGTTTCAGCGGGCAACACATCTCGACACCAACAACACTCAACGAAGACTATATCGAACATGAGCTCCCTACGCTCTCTCCTGCCGGTCATCGGCTCTTTCACCGCGTTTCTCTTGGGGATTCTGTGTCTATTCTCCGGGAGTCAACGCCAGTTCCTGCCGCAGGGCAATCTTTTGACGGTGTGTAATGCCCAGCCCCAGCAAGGAGGAACCAACCTACTAACTTAGCGTCTTCTAGCTGTACACCAGCGGCGCCGGCGGTGACGGGGCGCCAGACTTCTTCACCATCTATCCCATGTCCTACTGCGTCGGGTACCAGGAAACCTGCGTGATCGACGAGAAGTCGAACACCACGACCATCCAGGACCGCATCACCGAGTGCTCGGACCGCAGTGTCCTCTTCGAGTTCAACCCTGGCGACGCCATCCAGCAAGCGCTGGGCAACCCTCCGACCGGTCTCCAGCCCGGCAGCTGGCCTTCCTGTATCACCGATGACTTCCACGCCTTGAAGCCCACGAACACTACGATGGTGCTCTTCCTGATTTTCGGAACGGTGGCTGCCATTGTCGCCATTGCCCTCCGTATCTGGACGATCGCGTCCGCCCGCGCCTCGCGACCGGATTACGCCTCCCAGCCTCCACGCTACCCCGGCACGGGGACCGAGCTGGAGACGCCCCCGACTAGTGTGGAGTTCTATGCTTTCCTGGTAAGCGCCTGCCTTTCCTCGCGGTATGGTGTAAGACGATGTCTAATGACAAGCAGACCAGCGTGTTCAGCTTCGGGATTGCGGCGACCATCGCAAGTGTCATCGCCAAGGAGTTTGTGGATTTGATCAGTGAGACCGGCAGCGAAAAGGGGATCTCGGCGGTCGGGGGCAATACCTTCCAGGGAATGATCTGGACGGCGGTGGTGTTGCAGTTGTTGGGGACGTTGCACGATTATATTGCGATTGTGACGTACCGGAGGGCGCTCAGCGAGGAGTATGGATCGCCGTCGTCGCCGCAGGGCGAGCAGTGCTCGGAACAAAAGCGGTTGGTGGTGGTGGAGGAGGATGATTGCTGAGAGGTTGGTTGTTTTGGTTATTGGCGTTGCATTTTTGGCGTCAGGTGGGGGAATGATAATGATATGACGTGGTAGATATCTTGGGCCGGTTAGTTGTTGCTGTCATTGTGTTTTTTTACGATACTCTCTGTTTGATGCGATGGTCATCATGATACTCGATACTTTGCTGTGGTTTATGATACTCTAGTATACGCGATGAACCTGTCTTCTCCAGCCATATTATATTTGCCTTAGGTGTGATGATGTCAAGCACATTGAGCAGACAGCACAGTCTGACTTGATTCTTCACTCAGTATCTCATACAGTATAGCATAACAATCTCTCATCCCCACTATTGAGTCGCATCCCCCAAAGCCGGCACATTGGCCACCTCCTCCAACAACCACCTCAGCCCCTTCATCCCCCGCTCGGCATGCACCCTCGGCACCGAGGCATCCTTCTCACTCAACGAGTGATTAAACACCTCCAACGACACGGGGCCCTCATACCCCGTCTCCAACACAGCAGCAGCCACCACCTCCACCGGCAAATAAGCGCCCCTCTCCTTCTCCCCGGGAAACAAACGATACCCCCTGGACCAAGGCAAAAGCCTGGGCGTCTCACCCTGCACATCCCAAGCCCTAACCTCCTCCAGCCCCACCCTCACCGCGTCGCCCACCTGAAAGAAGAAGATTTTCTCCGCAGGCACACGCCTCACCAAGCTCCGCATCGACACCCTCAACCCCCGCCTCGCCACCTCCAAATCCCCATGTACTCTCCCCGACCCATCAGCAGCATACGGATCCGCCCACTCCACGGCTAGAACATTAAATGCGTCCACGACCAACCCCACATTCGCCCGGTCCGCCGCCTGCACCGCCTCCCACGAACTAGCCCAGGTATTCCTCCGCGCCCAGCTGAGCCCCTCGTACCCGATCCTGAGCATCGGCCCGCCGTCGGCCTCCGCGTACGCGCGCGCCATATCGCCCAGCTCGGCGAGGTCCTTCGCCACGACCTCCAAATCGGAGGTGACCCCCTCGTCGGTGCGGATGTTGGCGCACAGGAACACGAGATCCGTGCCGAAGGCCCGCATGAAGGGGAACCGGGCGGCGACGGAGTCCAGGGCGGCGCGCCGCGCGGTGGGGTCCAGGATCCCCTCGACCTCGCGGCAGGGCTGCGTGCAGGCGATCTTGAGGGAGAGGGAGGCGGCGAGCGAGCCGAGCTGCGCCGCGATGCGGAGGGTCTCCGGGGTGGATGTCCAAGGGGTCTGCGGTCGGGGGAGGGCCCGCGAGTGGTGCGCGCTCAGGTAGTGGGCCCAGTCGTCGTCGAACAGGTCGATGTGTGTGTATCCTGCTGCGGCGGCGGCGTGGAGGCGCGCTTCGAGGGTGTGGTGGGCTGCGCTGCCGAGGCTGAGGGTGGCGATGCCCAGGGGATTTGGGGGGGTAAGCTTGGACTCGATCATGGTTGTGTTGTTTGTGTGTGGGAGGGGTCGTGGGTGTGGTTGAGGGGGAGGCGGTGATTGAGGGGATGTTTATATGAAAGGTCCCGGGAGAACGGTTTCCCGGGGTTCAAGGCGGGTGAATGGTTTGGGTAACGTGAGTCAATTGTGGCTTTTGGTTGGGCTGAGGTGTTCGTTTTGATATGGTGTCTTCACTGAAGGGTTGGTTTCTTGTCTGACTGTGAAGCCGAGGCTGTGACGTAGAACCGGCGAGCTAGCCAATCAGGTCGGGTTTTTGGAGGGGTCTCCGCACCCGGTCATTTGTTTTGGCTCCGGTCCGGCGAATTTGTGGTAGCACATAACACACCCCAAGACATCAACACGACACAGCCCTTGACGGGGCTGTGATCCTCATAGCTTTAGGACTAACTTATTAGCTGTGGTGTATAGGGAAGGACTCATTGCTTCATGTCGACTAGAGGTGTGGAATATAGAAGAAATGAGGTAGGAATGGGGTATGGCTGTTAGGGCCTCTAATGTTAGTGTATCTTGCGCCAGAGACACCACTTCCCAGATAAATTTTCGCAAGAGGCTAATCTTCTTCCTTCAGACAACAGTCTTGTCGGTAGTATCTTCTCCAGAACCGAAGGATCAGCCACATCTTCTTCGGGCTTGGCAGGTCGGCCTGCTGCACATCCGGAACCCTCGGCTCGAAGCTGCACGGCCACGTCAGGCTGCATACGGACGGAACATCCCGACAGGCCCACCGAGAAGAAAGAGTGAAATCCCGGCGGAGGCCACTGCAACTTCAACTAAACGACCATCACCTACTATACCAGAGCATCTCCGACATCAGAATTCTGTTGGGAGTTGATGTGATGCGATCCAGCAATGCTCCGGCAAGTCACCTGATACGCAAGCCCTATACGCAACAACCTCATTCTGCCGGTATGCCCAGATGTCTGCAATCGCCTCGGTCTCGCTCAAACTCCGACCCCCCTCAAGACCCTTGCCTGATCGACATTGATCGACACTACCCCACCCGCTAGCACCAGAGTCCGCATGTACTCCTTGATTCTGCTCGTCGTACGATGGTTTCCTCCTGTCTTAGGCTAATCGGCTAAATCACTCCAGCGTGCTTAAATACTCTGCAGCGATGTTCATCTCCCTTTGTACGCAAGGAACAGTGCGTCCAGCAACATGTATTTCCTCCTCACACTCCTCGTGGTTGGGCACTGCCTGGCCGACTACTTCCACCCCAACTCCACCGGCCTGCGCCTGCAACACGGCTTCGAGACCCTCCTCATCCAACCCTACGGCTACGATGGCTTCCGCGTGCGCGCCTGGCCCTTCCGCCCCCCTACCGGCCAGGAAATCAGCTTCATCTACGACCCACCACTGGAGGGCTTCGAGAACGGCACCGCCCACGGCATGAGCTACGACCAGACCTCCACCGGCGAAACGCCCCTCACCCTCCGCAACGGCAACCTCCTTCTCCGCACGACCGGCTGGGGCGGCAACGAGGGGGGCTACCGGCTGTCTTTCTCGCGTCTCAACGCCGACGGCAGCGAAACACTCCTCACCAACGAATACGCCCCGCTCAAGTCCCTCAACCCGCGAACCTACACGTGGCCCGGCCCGGGGGCCGAGTTTCGCGCGGAATTCAGCTTCAGCGCCACGCCAGACGAGCAGATCTACGGCACGGGCACGCAGCAAGACCACCGCATCAACAAGAAGGGCTCGGTCATCGACCTGGTCAACTTCAACACCTACATCCCCACCCCGGTGTTCATGAGCAACAAGGGCTACGCGTTCGTGTGGAACACGCCCGCCGAGGGCCGGATGGAGTTCGGGGCGCTGCGCACCAAGTTCGTCGCCGAGTCGACCACCCTCGTCGACTACGTGATCGTCGCTGCGGGCGACGACTCTGCCGGCGACGACTCTGCCAACAACAACAACAACACCACCACCTCCTCCGTGTCCAAATACGACACTCTCCAGCGCCGCCTCTCCGCGCTGACCGGCCGGGCCCCGACCCCGCCCGCCTTCAGCCTGGGATACATCCAGTCGAAGCTGCGCTACGAGAACCAGAGCGAGGTCGAGCAGCTAGCGCGCAGCTTCGCGGCGCACGACATCCCCGTCTCGCTGATCGTGATCGACTACCAGTCGTGGGCGCACCAGGGCGACTGGGCGCTGGACCCGCGGCTGTGGCCGAACGTCAGCCAGATGGCTGCAGTCGTCCGCAACGCCACCGGCGCAGAGCTCATGGCCAGCCTGTGGCCCAGCGTGGCGGACAACTCGGTCAACTACGCCACGCTGCAAGCCCAGGGGTTCCTATCAGCCACGCGCTCCGGGCCCGGCACGACCGACAGCTGGAACGGCAGCTACATCCGCAATTACGACGCGACGAACCCGCTGGCGCGCCACTTTCTGTGGTCCACCCTGCACCGCAACTACTACACCCACGGCATCAAAAACTTCTGGATCGACCAAGCCGACGGCGGCGCCCTCGGCGAAGCCTACGAGAACAACGGCCAAAGCACCTACATCCAGTCGATTCCCTACGCGCTGCCCGACGTCCTGTACGCCGCGGGCACCCAGCGCGGCGTGGGGAAGCTCTACCCGTGGGCCCACCAGCAGGCCATCGACGAGGGCTACCGCAATGTGACCGCCACCGCGCCGGGCGACCCCTGCCCGCACATCTCCCTCAGCCGCAGCGGGTACATCGGCTCGCAGCGCTTCTGCAGCATCATCTGGTCCGGCGACACGACCTCCGTCTGGGACACGCTCGCCGCGCAGATCGCGTCGGGCCTGTCGGCCGCCGCCACCGGCTGGGGCTGGTGGACCGTCGACGCCGGCGGGTTCCAGGCCGACCCGACCGTCGCCTGGAGCGGGGACATCGATACCCCCGAGTTCCGCGAGCTGTACGTGCGGTGGTTCGCGTGGGCGACCTTCCTGCCGTTCATGCGCACCCATGGCAGTCGCGCGTGTAGTGTGCAGAGTGCGTATACCTGCGCGAACGAGCCGTGGTCGTATGGTGCCGAGAATACCCCGATCATCACAGGGTATATCCGGTTGCGGTATCAGTTGGCGCGCTATTTGACGAATGTGTTTGAGCGGTTTAGCACCGAGGGGAGGAGTATTATGCGGCCCTTGTATATGGATTTTGAGCACACGGATAGGAACGTGAGTGGGCTGGTGGCGGCCAATACGAATTTCACGACCCAGTCGTATATGTTCGGGCCGCGGTTGTTGGTGAGTCCGGTGACCAGGCCGAATGTCTCGGAGTGGGAGGTGTATTTGCCTCGTACGGGGGAGAGGGGGAAGTGGACGCATTGGTGGTCGAATGAGACGTTTGCTGGGGGGGAGGTGGTTACTGTCAAGGCGCCGCGGGAGCATATCCCCTTGTTCTTCTGGGGGAGCAGGGAGGAGATTCTGAGTGGGGAGGTTTTTTGAGGGCTTGGATGGTAGAGGGGGTGGAAATGCTTTTGAGGTGGCCTGGTTCCAATGTTTGAAGCATGTGCTTCGATCTAGTATAGAGGTGCTATAGACATACAATTTCAGAAGAACGTGCCTTGAATTCATTCCGCTGCAAACCCATCAAGGACTAACGTCACCTGCTCGAGAGATTATTCAATAAAGCCCCGACTCCTTCGTGCTATATTCAATTCGAGCGTAATGACCACTGCCTTCTGCGTAGAGAGATCTGAAAAGCTAAGTAGTCTCACAATGACGTTGGCGCTGCCGTTCCGGATTTATATACGTTCAATGCCCATGTGGTTAGGGTACGTGCAGTTTCGAGTCATGGGGACATGGCCACAAATGCTACAACCAACTCAGGACGTTAAAATAGCCTCCCACTATCTTGACAAGGTTCAGTATAATTCAATCATCTCCGGGGTGCTGTGGCTACGAAGGTTCATCTCCGCCAATATTCCTAACACAGCCCTGTGCTGCTCCCTCGAGTAACAGACATCCGAGATCAGATCGTGGTTCTATAGATAGATTGTCTCAGACACCCCGCTATAGTGGCAAAACTGACATCCACGGCATGAATTTCTGTGGACCCCAATTGCATTGATGTTATGTTTTGTCGGCCTGTCCGGCCTGCTGCCTCAGGCCACCATCCACGATGAAACAGAATGTTTCTTACATTCTGCTTGGCCGCTTGAGCAACCAGCATGGGCCATGCAGGCAGTGGATTCATGTGAGCTTGGCTTAGGGCCCTGATGGATACGCTACCTAAAACTAAAAATACACAGTGCCAATCGAGTTGCATCTTGGTGATGCCAATGTTCCAGCCTTGACCCGCTAGCCCCAAAAGAGCAGGAATTACGAAATACGACTGAGGATCGATCAACAGCTTCAATTTCGTCACCACATCCTCTCCTGGCCTCGGTACAAAAGGTCTGTAGGACCGTCTGCTGCTCTCGTCGGTCGTGTCCAACGTCAATCTCTTCCCACATCACCACTACTCCATCCATCACCATGCAAGGCTGGACGGCGTACGCATATGATCCCTCCATGGGAGGGGCGGTAATCATGATCCTGCTGTTCCTGGTAGCCACTTTGATCTTCATCTACCAGCTCATCCGCACCCGGGCCTGGTTGACGCTTGCCGCCTTGATCGGGGCACTCTGTATGTTGCAGCTTCCACGATGACCGATCGGACGCTGATGATTCTTTTCCTTCTATAGTCGAAGTCGTCGGATACTGCGGTCGCGCCATGTCCGCCCATCAGTCCCCGGACTGGACCCTCGGTCCCTACATCATCCAAAGCACACTGCTGCTGGTCGCCCCGGCCCTTTTTGCTGCTACCATCTACATGATCCTGGGTCGCATTATCCTCCTGGTCCGCGGCGAGCACCACTCCATCATCCGCCTGAAGTTCCTGACCAAGATTTTCGTCGTGGGCGACATTCTCTCCTTTCTGATGCAAGCCTCAGGTAGGAGCTCTCTGCCCGTATAGCCCTTCACGTTACCCTGACAATCAACAGGCGCCGGTCTGATGGTCAAGGCCGGCTCCGCGACGGACCACACGGGCGAGAACGTGATCATCGGGGGCCTCGTCGTGCAGATTCTCTTCTTCTGCTTCTTCATCACGGTGGCGGTCATCTTCCAGCGGCGCATCTACCGCCACCCCACGGTGCGGTCGGAGTCGCCGCAGATCCCGTGGCGCAAGCACTTCTTCTCGCTGTACGCGATGAGCTTCCTGATCCTGATCCGGTCGATCGTGCGGTTCATCGAGTACATCCAGGGCCAGCAGGGGTACGTGATCACGCACGAGGCGTTTATCTACGTCTTCGACGCGGTGCCGATGTTTTTGGTGCTGTGTATTCTCATTGTGGTCCACCCGAGTGAGATCAATGGGTTGCTGGGCAAATCGCGGGTGGCGGCGGTGGGGAATGGGTTGCGATTCAAGGATGTGACGCCGGCTCTGTGATTGTTTTTTTTTGGGGGGGGGTTTGAGGGAGTTGACTAGACTACAGACAGCACGGTTACAGATTCAATAGAATTTCAAATTGTATCCACCGAACACCGAACAAGAACCCGAACAGGCAATGAATACGCATCCGAGATGGAGGGAAGGGGGGGGGGGGGCGGTGTGGGGTAGGACTAAGCTTCAAGTGGGCATGAGTACGGATACGAAGTGGAGCCCTACTTTCTCTCTCCCTTTCTTTTCTTGCTTTTTCCTTGTACCTTACTTACCATCTTCGACTGATAAATCTAGTATCACTACTAGGTACTCCGTACAGTTCATAATGTACCGGATACTCCATTCTCCGTGAACGCCTTCAAGACAAGATACACCTCGGCTCGATCCTCCCACTTCGCCCCCACGACTCTACTTTATCTCTGTTTCTACTTCTACTTCTACTTCTCCCAAGTTCCAAATGTAAAACCCTCCGTATCCTCAGGACATCCGTCCGACCATGTCTATCCTCACCATCCTATGCCTCGCGCTCGTGCTCTCAGCCAGCTACACCCTCGCCCGAATCTACACCACCTACCGCCCCCTCCGCAACAGCCCACTACCAGTCCTCATCGTCGCGACCTCCCTCCCCCACCCACTTCGGAGTCTTTTCACCCTCGTGGACCACAACTCCCGCCTAGCCCTCTTCTTCCAACGCGACCGCTTCAGCCACCACTCCTGGAACTTCCGCGACAAATTCGCCCTGCATGCGCGCTACGGCCGGTCCTTCTTCCTAGTGACACCCGGAGGCCGGGAGTTCATCACCGCGGACCGCCCCGTCGCAGACCAGATCCTCGTGCGGCGGAGGGCGTTCCCCAAACCGTTAGGGCTGCTTGGTACTGCCCTTCCTCCCCTACCCACATGAAAACGAAATGGCTGACCAGGAGAATGTAGACAAGTTAGAGCTGTTCGGACCGCATCTTGCTTCGGTCCGCCCCCTGCTCCGCTCACATCACTCTATCCCGTGCGAGAGTTCCGATTGCTAATCAAGACGTGTATGGGTGCAGGTCGAAGACACACCCTGGCAGCGCCACCGCCGCATCACCGCCAGCGCCTTCACCGCGTCCACTGACCAGGCCGTCTGGACCGTCTCCCTTGCCCGCGCGGCGCAGCTGGTCGCCACCACCCAGAACGGTACAACCACCGCCACCAGCACAAGCACATTCCCCGACCTCGCCGACGCCAGCCTCGACGTGCTGCTACACGTCTGCCTCCCCACTACCACCCCCTCAGACACCACCTTCAATCCGCAGGAGTGCAAATCCGCCCTTCTCCGCTTCCTGGGCATCCTCACCGCCCCGACGGGGTGGAGCCTCCTCCCCTGGCGCCGCAGTCAGGGCTCGCGGGGTCTGTGGGCAGGGGCGCGCGAGCTCGGAGAGGATATCGCGCAGCTGGTGGAGTACCGTCGCCACCGTCTGGATAGGACCCTGAGAAGGGGGCATGGGGATCTGCTCTCGACGTTGCTGCGGTGCGAGGGCTGGGCTGGCAGCGGCAACGGCAGCAGGGATTATCTGTCCCCGGACGAGATCCGGGGCAATGTGTTTTTGTTTCTGTTTGCCGGGCATGAGACCACCGCTAATACGTTGCTGTATGCCGTGTATCTCCTGGCGATCTTTCCGGGGTGGCAGGACTGGGTGGGGCAGGAGATGGATTTCTTGCTGAAGGGCGTGGGAGGGGATGAGGAGCCGGGGTTTGAGGTGTTGGAGGGGCTGAGGAGGCTGAGGGCTGTTCTGGTGGGTTTCCCCTTTCTTTTGTCTGGTGGCGGTGATGGCTGATTGTGGTAGATGGAGACGCTGAGGCTATATGGCCCTGTTGTGAATGTGCTGCGCGAGACGCGCGAGCAGGACCAGATGGTTAAGGCGGAGACTCCGTTCGTCGTTCCGGAGGATACCTCCATCCGGGTCAATAGTGTGGCGCTGCATACGGATCCTGGGGCTTGGGGATGTGATGCGGCGGAGTGGAGGCCGTCGCGGTGGGTGGTTGGGTCGTCAATCGGACAGCCCGGAGAGGATGTGTACAACGCGGAGATGGAGCAGAAGCTCATCGCTTGGTCCGAGGGGCCGAGAGTCTGTCCTGGCAAGCGGTTCTCCCAGATTGAGGTTCTGGCGGTGCTGCTGCAGCTGTTCCGACGGCATAGAGTCGAGATTGTGGCTGAGCCCGGGGAGACAGTCGAGGAGGCACGGCAGCGGGCTTATGCGCGGGTGCAGCAGAGCACAATGAGTTTGACGCTGCATATTCCCCAGCCGGAGAAGGTGTGTTTACGGTGGGAGCGGCGGAGAGATAGTAATCTTGCTTAATCTAGACTAAGTGAAACAGCGTGCTTGATTCATTGACCTGCATTACTCTCAGACTAAGCCTGCAAACTAGCGATGGGCTTGGTAGTCAATCGCGCCTCAAACAGGCATCTAAACGAGTACGAGACCCGAATACGATATCCCAGCCTCCAACGATACACTCTATATTCGAGCAGATACATCCACTATATAAGCATATAAGCCTGTGGCCAACATCCCCACAACGTGATCTCAAGCATGCCGACCTACCTCCTCTACCGGTATGCCCCCTCTCTCCCCGCCGCCATCACGGCGACGGTCTGCTTCGGCCTCCTCACCACCAGCCATGCCATCCACTACTGCGCCCAGCGCACCTGGTTCTTCACCCCGTTCATCATCGGGGGCATCTGTACGTAGCTGAGACCCCCCCCCCCCCCCCACTCACCCATTTGTAACCCCACGGCTCAGCAAACTGATCTCAACCCAGTCGAAACAACCGGCTACATCGGCCGCATCATCAACAGCACCCAGACCCCGAACTGGACCACAGCCCCGTATATAATGCAATCCCTGCTGCTGCTTGTCGCCCCCTCCCTCTTCGCCGCCTCCATCTACATGATCCTGGCGCGCATCATCCGCCTCACCGACGGGGACGCTCGCTCCGTCCTGCCGGCCCACTGGATCACCCGCGTGTTCGTCGTAGGCGATGTCCTTGCTTTCCTGGCGCAGGCGGGAGGTGGGTTCTTCTCTCTCCCCGTTCTCCCCCTTTTTCTGTCATGGTCGCTCATAGAATCGTAGGCGGAGGCCTTCTGGCCAAGTCCAATTCATCAACCATTACCCGAACAGCTAACTGGATCGTCATCGCCGGCCTGGGCATCCAGGTCGTCTTCTTCGCGGCCTTCATCCTCGTCTCGGCGGTGTTCCATCGCCGCATGCGGATCCACCCCACGCAACGCGCGCGGAGGACCCGGGTGCCGTGGAGTGGGTTTCTGTGGGTGCTGTTCTTCACCAACGGGCTGGTTCTGGGGAGGTCGGTGTTTCGGGTGGTCGAGTTCGCGATGGGCAGGGATGGGGTTCTTCAACGGCGCGAGGTCTGGTTGTATGTGTTTGATGGGGCGGTGATGGCGTTGGTGATGCTGGTTTTGCTGGTGTGGCATCCGAGCCGGTTGCGGGGGGTGAGGAGGGATTATGTGAGGGGGGAGGGGGGAGGGAAGAAGAGGAAGAGGAGGAGGAAAAGAAGGGAGGAGGTAGATGTGAGGGGAGTCTGGGTTTAAGTGTCTGGATGTTATGATAAGCATAGGGTGGAAATACGAAATCAGAAATATAGGTTTGAGGATGTTTGAATGAAACGATATTGGGTAAGGGTGTCTTTCGAAGCTGTGCTGTAGAAGTTGTTCATCTTGTAAGGCTTATAAAAACTCTTACACCCTGGCATCATCAATATGATAACACTGTTGGAAAGACTTGAGGTGAAATGTGAAAGATGGTGGATGTTGGGTTGAGGGGTCAAACAGTGAATGCGCAATGAAGGGAATGATCCACCAACTATATAAGCAGTCTCCTTGCTCTTGCTCTTCCTCATCTCTGCATCTCTTTCACAACACACTTCTCTCCCTCTTCAACCTATCTTCACCTCTACTTGATCACTCCTGCAACTTGGTCTCGTGCCATCTAACCCCATCAGTCTTACCTATCTCTCTTCGACTTCCATCTTCTCTGCGTCATACGCTTATCTCCTTCAACTCATAACCATTCCTTCAACTCATGTCATCTTGATCCTGTCAATCTCCTCGAGCGATCGCCCGAGAGCTATGCGGAGCTCGTCGATCTCGTGGCAAGAAGCATGCCCTCGAAGCGGGAGGGCAAAGACCTGCATCACGAGCATGTCCTCAGCAAGTTCTTGGACTATCTCGAGACCGTGCGCCCCAACTTCGATGCCTTCCGCGCCACGGCGACCTATCAAGCGGAGTGGAAGACTCTCCTGGAAGCCCGCCGGAATATGGAACAGCAGGAGCAGATTGTGCAAGAGGCCGAGGAGCTGCTCGGCGACTGGGGCGAGCGGGGCCGGCACCTCCTGCACATGTATGCCTATTTCACCCGGTGTTGGATCAACGGCCTCAAGAAGGTCTTTGAGCATGGATATTCGTACGAGGAGTACGTCATTCGCCTGAATTGCGCCGTGCTCTCTCGTCAAATGAAGCTAGGGAGGCGCCGCCCTCGGAAAGTCATGCCGGGTGATGCCTGGACCGCGAGTGAATGCGGCAAAAACCCGGCGCCGGTCACGACGCGGGATCTCGACGAGTTTGGCCTGATCATCAATGATCTGGGGCTAGTCGAGTCGAGACGCCAGTATGAGAGGGCCCAGCTTGCTGCTGCTCAAGATGGTAAGCCGCAGTCTGCGAACCAGGTCTCTCGCCCGGCTGACGTCGATGACGATGATGATAATGGGCATGGTTATCGCTCGCGCAAGCGCCGTCGACTGTGAAGACTATCGTGGGTATTATCGGCAGATGCGACCTGTTGTTTTGCTTATGCGTTCTGTGAGTTCATGGCTGGGACCGATTGATGATATCGTGTTGGCTAGGTAGATTGTCGTTGTTTTGTGAAATTGTCATGATCTTTTACTTGTTGATTTGTCCCAAGATACTCGAAGATTGTGCTCTACTGTTCTGGAAGGCGGATCTCTATTTGGCCTCAGTCGCTTACGCTGTACTGTAGAGAGGTAGAGAGAGCACTTCAGCATCACCTGTAACAGCACAAAGTCCATCATTCATGGTAGCGAGTGCCGTTAATTTCAAGTTCACCGTCAATCTTCCCTAAATTATTATCGAGACAATTACAACCGAAAAGGATGAGCATTATCCCCATTTCTCGTACTGCAGTCTGTCATTTCAACGTAACATCTACTTTTGCCAACGATGTCTATGTACTGACCATCCACGATACTTTTAGCAGCCCCATCCCATCATTAGCTCATTAGTCACATCAAGGAACCCATAACCAAGTTCTAATGGGCCTTGGTAGCATAGGGACTTCTGTCCCGCAAGTACTGCCCATACAATCCCAACAGCATCGCCGCCGGAAGCCCAATCCCCAACCCGATGAAGCCCAGCAGACTCCCCGCCCACCCATACCCCAACGTCGAGTACCTGTGGAAAGCATCAACCCTAGCTCGATACCAAAGGACTTTGCCCGGAAGAACTCACATATAGGGAGCGAACATCGGAAAGGTGAAACCCGCAATACAGCGAATCGTCGACACGGCCGCCAGCCCACTGGCGGCATACCGGCCATAGGTATCGATCACATACGCATTCACGGAGATGGTGCAGGCCAACGCGCCGGCGACAAAGATCGAGGTGCCGATGTTCGGCATGATCCAGTGCAGCTTCTTCTCGGCGGACCAGCCGTACCAGAACATGCCGGCGCTGAGGAACAGGGTGGCGGGGAGCATGATGGGGATGCGGAACTCGGGCAGGCCCTTGCCCCCGTTGCGCCGGGCGAGGGTGCGGTAGATGCGGTCGTTGACCAGCGTGCAGCACTCGGCCGCGAGCGCCGACCCCACCGCGATCGAGATGTAGTTCAGCCCCGCGATCTCGGTGCGCTCGCCGTACACCTCCGTCCACAGGTCCACAAAATCCGCGTACAGGATGTAGATGTTCCCGTACAGGTACGCGTTGTACAGCGCCAGCACCTGGATGATGGGCTGCGTGGCCAGCAGCCGGAACGGCCGGATCAGATTCGTCGACAGCTTCTTCAGGCGGCCGGCGTCGAGGTAGTCGTAGTCTGTATATAGGTTGGTTGCGCCGGTGGTTTTGGTCAGTTGGGCTTTCTTGCGTCGGAGGAGGAGTGGCGGGTAGGTTTCTTCCAGGAAGAACAGGCCGGACAGTTGGATGGCCACGCTGAGCAGCGAGGAGGTGTAGAAGGTCCACTGCCAGCCGGTGTTCTGCGAGATGAAGCCGCCGATGACGGCCCCGACCAGGGGCGCCAGGATCGGCGACCAGCTGTAGATCGCCACGGCTTTGCCGCGGTCTTTCGCGTGGAAGAGGTCGCTGAGCGTACCGCCTCCGATCTGGGAGACTGTCAGTGACAGCTGCTGAGGAGAGCTGGGTTTTAGTCACATACCCCGAGGGTGGCGCTTCCGCAGAGGCCGGCGACAAAGCGCAGGACGATGATGGCTTCCTTGGTGCGCGCGCCGCCGCACGCGGCGTTGAAGACAATGTACATGAAGTTCCAGGACTGGACCACTCGCACCCGACCGTAGATCTCGGACAGCGGACTGGCGACGAGGGGGCCGCACGCAAAGCCCAGGAGGAAGATGGAGAGCACCATCTGCTCGACCGCCGGCTGGGTGATGTTCAGGTCGGATGCAATGGCCGGCAGTGCCGGAGCGACAATGGTCGACGACAGGGGACTCATGAAGACGAATGAGCTCATGGCAAAGATCGCCTTCCATTTGCGCATTGCACTCCAGTTCTTGGGGTTTTCGGGGTCGTCCTCGCCCTCCCAGGTTACCTGGTGGGTGTCATGGTGAGGAGGTGTTCGGCGCAGTCGACACAGGTGGGAAGAAGACTCACTAGAACTCTGTCGGACTCGACGGTGCCATTCTCTAGGTCACCTTCTTTTGCCACCTTCTCCGATGACTTCTCTGGCAGTGATGAGTCTGTGGATGGTGTTGGATTCGCATCTTCGTGTTCCTTGATGGTGTTCAACCGCTGCAGTAATTTTCTGATGTTCATGGCTGATAGAATCTCCCTATGTTCCCCTTAGACTCAACCGGGGCTGGCATGAAATAAATTACCCATGCAGGCTAGTCTAGAGGATTAAAATATCAGATTGAAAATGTCGAGATGGTGGATGTGAACTAAATATGCAATATGCATCAAAGCACTAAACTGCCAAGTCAGTAGTGGAAATGCTGGTGAGCCCGAGTACTCCGATACAAGTCCGATACACATCTTGTAATTCATCCAAGTCCGATCCATCACAGACCTTTAGAGAAAGTGTGGGTGGAGAAGAACTGGTTTTTTTTTTGTTACGTTCTTCCTGCTATCTCTACTATCTCGACTATCTTTCAACATTTGCCAGGCTTGGGCAGTGATTCCCTGGTGGTGTGCGCGAATGGCAGATTACTGTCACGTGACCAATTTGTACCATCGACTCCGTTTGTCGCGATCCCCTCAATTCTTCTTCTCTTCCTCCCACAACCTCCCTCCATATGGCCGAAGAGCCAACAAGCCACCCATTTCGGAGTGTCTGGTCATGTCTACCCTGAGTCGCCGGCGTAATCGCTCGTTGGCCTCGTGCGAGCCATGTCGCAAGAGCAAGATCCGGTGTGATCACGGCAAACCCACCTGTGCATCCTGCCAACGCCGTGGGCTCCACCCACAATGCTGGTATCATCCTGCCCCTCTGACCAAGCATCGGACTTCGCAGAGACACTCTTTGTCCACGCCACCGGGCTCACTCCGCGTCGCCCAGACGGGCCCACCACTGCAGCATCCGGTCGAGAGTCCCTTGGCCGAGACCCCCAAGTTCCACACTTGGCCGTTCATGTCCGCCGATCCCAATGACTCGTCATCGCTCGCCCTCCCCCCGGGCCGCCACAACTACAATCTCAAGGCCCACGACGAGCACTTGGCGGCCATCCAACGCATTGTCGCCCAGCTGAAGCTCTTGCCCGTCATAGAAAAACAGTTGCATGAATATTACTCGTTCAGCCTAGTCGCGCTGGTCCCTCAGCCGCTGCTCTTGCAGCTCATCGCCTCCATTCGAGCCGGTCTCGCAGCTTTGGGCTATAATCAGGACAGCCTAGATGCAGAGCTTGACATTCACTGCGCATCAAAATTAGCCGAAGACATTCTACGGGCCTCCTCACTGGAAGTAGTCATTACCCGCGACTTGGATTTGCCGGCGTTCTGTGCCTTGTTCTGTGGGCCCAATCTACGCATAGAAACTCTTGGCCTCCTGTATACGATGGCCGCACGCGCAACTATGTTTGCTGTAAGGGACGGACACGACGAAGACCGTGACAATGCCTTCGTTCGCGATATGGGCTGGTACGGCAACTTGAGCCTGCGACTGGCCCGTGAGCTTGCACCGCAAACAACTGATCTAATCACATGGCTTGCGCACGAGAACTTACAGTTAACCACCATCTTCGAAGGCGATGCAAGTAAGTTAAACTGCCACGGGCTCAGCGGGCACATTTAACAATGTCGTAGGCTTAGGGGTATGGAGACGCTTGGGCGATCTCGCCACAGACATCCTGGCCTTAGGCCTGAATCGAGAAGCAACCCACGCCACGACGCCATTCTTCCTTGCGGAATGTCGACGAAGAACCTTTGCTAGAGCCTATTACCTGGACAAAGTGTTTGCATCGGTATTCATGCGGCCGCCGCGCATAACTGCTCGACATGCAGACTGCAGCCTTCCATTAGACCTATCTGATGAGGAACTTTTCGCGTCGTCAGATGTGATAGAGCATGCGAAGCACAACCTGACACCGGACGGCTGGAATACCGACGGAAAGCATCGAGTTGCTACGTGGGCTCGAATACGCTATATACTCGCGGAGTTACGTGAGGAGACCGTTGAATATCAGTTTCGAGTCACGCATGCCGCTGATTCTGTGAAGCTTAGGTATGTAATGGCCTGACTTTTGTTGAAGCCACTCGCTCATTATCCACAGAGAGTTATCCGATCGGTGTACGCAGGCATGGAATCGGCTACCGCCACACCTCCAGTACAGGCAGGACTGCTGGACATCGAACCTCCCTCCAGAACTTTGCCACATGCATGCAAAGATCTACCTGTCTTATCTGCACATTCACTTTCAGATTTACAGACTCCTTGGAAATGCAGAAGGTCTAACGACCCCTCAGCCAGAACTGCTTGAGGTCTCAGCCAGTATGCTTGAGACCGTGATTCAGATGACGAATAGCCGCGGGAGAACCTCTTTCTCGCCGCGCGATCTGCCTGGGATTGTATGCCCCCCTGACTGGTATTGCACTGCAATAGTAGACCTCTCCATTGACCGGTACTAGGTTCTCTCTTATGGTTTGCCATGTGCTGCAATTCTATCCGCCGCCCTGGAGAACGTGATGCAAGATGCATCAGCAGGGACAAGGCTGCCGGAAGGCATCAAGACCTCCAATCTCATTCGCCACCTTTCCGTTCTGGTGTCTCAACTGGAGAGCGTATCCAACCCCAGCGAGACCAACTACGTATTCTGCCTCAAAGCATCGAGGGCTATTTCGCGCAAGCTCGACGGGATTTTAGACAGTTTTACAGTAGTCAGTTCTATAAAGACCCCAGCCCCTGGCTCAGTCCCAGAGCCAGTTCCGACGCCCCCACAAATCGACAGCACAGTCCCTATCGCGATGGGTGAAATGGACATGAGCTCATTGATTGATCTTGAGAACTTCAATTTCACAGACTGGGCAATCAATTTCGACATAGGCATGACTGATGAGTTAAGGATGTTTTGAGCCTCCGAACATCAAACTGAAAGACCTAATTCAACGTTACAGACAGTACGGAAACTGGCCAATGGACCCCAATGCACACGGGCAGCTTTCTTTTTCTCGCCCCTCACTTCTGCCGATAATCCCGCTTTGCCTTCAGAATCTCCGCGAAAAGATTCGCCAAGGCCTCCAAGGCACGATCACAGATTTGGTAATGAATGATCAGCCGGTCCTGCAAACGACCCCGCATGGTCTTAACGCCTGCATTCTCAGCCAGATCCGCAAAATGCTCCTTGTCAATTCCTGCGGCCTCCAAATCCAACCATATCATGTTGGTTTCGGTCGGATGCTGAAGCTTCCCGCCTAGACTCACCCACAGCTTGGAGAGTCTCTTTGCTGTTTCTTGGTTCGCACGCAGGCGTCCGCCCAGGAAGATCTGCTCCACCGCCACCCGGGCCGGGGCGCACACAATGCCGGCCGCGCGGATGCCTCCACCCAGCAACTTGCGCATCCAGCGGGCCCGCTTGATGAAGGCCTTGTTGCCGATGACTATTGATCCAATGGGGGCGCCCAGACCCTTGGTGAAGCACAGCTGCGCGCTGTCGAAACAGGTAGCGTACTCCTTGAGGGTGCCGGCGCCGGCCGCCACCGCCTCCCACAACCGCGCCCCGTCGAGGTGCATGTGGATGGGCGGGTCCTGACTCCGGGCCCAGGTGGATATTGCACGCACGTCCTCCAGAGGCATGATGGTTCCGGAGAGCGTATTTTCCAGACTGATGATTCGCGTGGGGCAGTCGTACACATCCTCACGGAGCGTGACGTGCCGCTTCACGTCCTCGAGGGTGAGGTGATGTCCGTTGGACGGAGCGACGCCTTGCATGAGGGCTCCGCACAGCGTCGACGGGCCACCGGCCTCCATGCCGATGATGTGGCTGCGACTGTCAGCGAGGATGCTATAGGGTGGGGCCAGCAGGGCGGTTCGAAGCGCCACCTGGTTGCCCATGGTTCCAGACATGACCAGGAGTGAGTCTTCATGACCCGTCAGTTGGGCTATGAACTCCTGGAAAGAGTTGGTGGTAGGGTCCTCCTTCATGACATCGTCTAGCAGGCTTGTGTTGATGATCGACGCCAGCATGGCGATGTTGGGAGAAGTTACATAATCGGAGCGGAAGTCGTAAGCGGCCTGGCCAGGAGAGTCCCAGGCTGTTTGCTGATTTGGGGATAAGTGATCTCGGGCAAAGAAAGAAGTCTGGTCCTCCCATGTTTCCTCGCGGGGGTCTTTGTAGGTGGATGGGGGCTGAACTGCTCCCTCGCGGAAAGATGACACAATGGAAGACATTTTGCTGAGAGGAAAGCTCGGTGATGATGAAGGATGCTTTTCGTATCTTGGGGTCCTTGCCTTCGAATTCCCACCCCTTCTTATACTCTTCTCTTCTTTCGTTTGAGCCTCACACCAAATCCCGAACAATAAACCCCCTCATCATCCATCCAGCGCTGCACATTGATCCTCTCTGGCTTTGCAATATCGATTGACAATTCCGTTGACAAACGGATTGACGTGCGAGACTCCTGCGATGGCTAGTGTCCGGGCCCGTGATGTTCTAGCCACCGGTGAGTCGACCGGAGGACAACCGACGAGGTTGATCATTGCGACCCTCCTGCAGCCAGATGGATACGTTTCCGCCCAGTAGGGTATTGCAGAAGATGGCGTGCTCCTCCCCTAGCACCCAATTAGTGGCTCACTCCGAGACCGCATATCCTCGGGAAACCCTCGGAGGCGTTGATCGACAGGCTCAGACATATCCCGCGCGGCGACTTTCGTGGCCATGTTTCACCAAGCTGTCAAAAACGAGTGGAGCGCGGCCCCGATGCGGCAAATAACGATGCGTGCTACGTCTGCAGTCATCTTATGATTGATAATCTCAATCCGTGCATGAAGCACTGACGAGAGCGGCTGGAACCGCCGGCGGAACGGTGGAGGTACCTTGGACGTCACGACCAAGGTTGGCGCCGCACTTGGCAGAGCTACCAAGCAATGTCAAGCTTACGGGGGATTAGCTTGTCTGCGTGGGCCTATGAGGTGTCTTAATCTTGGCGCAGAGTAATATAGCCCCTGCATGCATGCACGCCCCTTGCCGTTGCGTATACGAGCTCCGACTTTCGCATCATGGATGACGATTCTTATCAATCTGTGCATAACTAGCAGTAGAAGACCTGGAGATCTGAGATCATTTTGCAGGAATGTTGTGCAATTCACGCTCGGGCGTGATCTTCAGCAGTATGTCCGCGGTGCGCTTTCAGCCTCCGCACACCTGGCAGGGTGTCCGTGCTGCAATTTCAGGGTCCCGGTGGAGTACCGGTAAGTTAGCAGTGCGCCACGCTAAGATCCTGACGCGGTCCAGGCACGGGCTGGCGTCGGGAATGCCGTTAGGGGGCCGAGAAGTGGACACCCTCGCCATTTCCCTGATTCTTCACGCTAGACTGTTTCCGCATGTCTTCAGAGCGGGTATATCAATGCTTAGAGTACCTTATAGTCTACATAAGCACTAAGGCCCGCTAACTGTGCCGATCGTACACGGAGTTGGGTGGCCAGGGTGCAGACTCGGAGTCCGCTCGGACAACCGCTCAAAGTACGGGACCTGGCGCCATGTGGGGGGAACTACAGTTATGGTCATCATGCAGGGTCGAGAGAACCCTTTCTTCATGTCACCATATGTTACCATTTGTCTCAGCAATGGGCTGAACATTGCGATTTTCACGACGGAGAAGGTTTCCTCCAATGAGGGGGTTGTATTGCGCCATGCCAGCGACACCGGAGGTGCTGTGTTATGCCTTGGTAAGTTTACCCTACGTCTATCCCAATTGTACAGCACGTACCTACAGTGCAGTATGTGCATCTCGCTCCGCTCATTGTGGCCTATATAACATCCACTGAACTCAGCAAATCCAACACCACACATCACACCACCTCTTTTCCATCAAGAAAACTTCCAAACTCCATCCTCAACCCTACTGATACCCTCCCCATCAACCAAAAAATGACCAAAACCACCCCCACCCTGCCCCCTCACCTCCAGGACCTTCTCACCCACGTCCGCACGCACTCCCCCTACTACCGCACCCTCTACGCCTCGCTGCCCGCGACCCCCGCAATCCCCACCCTCGCCACCCTCCCTCTCACCGACCCAACCGCCTACTGGACCACGTCCAGCACCTCCGCGGCCTCCATCCTGACCGCCCCGCTCACCGACGCCCTGGTGATGCGCAGCGGCGGCTCGACCTCCACCCCGAAAACGGTGTACATGACGCGGGCCGAGTTCCACGCCACCGCCCGCATCGCCGGGGCGCTCTTCCCCTCCAGCTGCGCCATCCAGCCCGGCGACCGCATCGCCAACCTCTCCTCGCAGGGCGGCCTGTACTCCGGGTTCATGACGTACGGGTACACGGTGATGAACAGCGCGGTGCCGGTCGTGAACCTGCCGATCAGCGGGAAGGAGGCGCCCGAGAATATCGAGAAGGATATCAACGAGTTCGCGGCGACGGTGGTGATCTGCAATGTGTTTATCGCGACGAAGCTGGCGACGTTCTTGCGGGCACGGGGTAGGGCGTTGGCGAGTGTAAGGCTGGTGCTGTACACCGGGGAGCCGTTCTATGGTGATCTGCGCGCGTTGTATAAGGCTGCTTTCCCGGGGGCGGTGGTGCGGCCCATGGCGTATGCGAGTGTTGAGTGTAAGGTTGTGGGGGTGCCGGTGCCGGAGTGCAATGAGGGGGGGGTGGGGGATGTGGATCCGGTGTATCGTGTGGTGGAGGAGGCGGTCGTGCTGGAGGTTGTTGGGGATGATGGGCACCCGGTTCGGGAGAATGGGGTCAGGGGCACGCTGGTCGTCACGAATCTGCTGAAGCGGCTGCAGCCTACCATCCGGTATCCGATTGGGGATGTGGGCGAGTGGGTGGATTTCGAGCGCGGGCTGTTCCGCCTGCGTGGACGGAGTGATGTCGGGGTTAAGGTTGGCACGGCGCTGTTGGATCGCGCGGTGCTGCGGCGGGTGGTGAGTGGGGTTCTTGGGGAGGGCGTGGCGGATAGTTTTCAGACGGTGTTGCGCAGGGAGAAGGGGAGGAATGTCGTGGTGTTTAGGGTTGCGGCGGAGAGGCCGGAGGATGGGCTCGGGGAGAGTCTGGCGGAGAGGCTGGAGGAGGCGGTGGCAAAGGTGAGTTCGAGTTGGTCGAAGAACCGCGAGGCCGGCCATGTGGCGCCGGTGCAGCTGGAGTGGGTGCGGTTTGAGGAGTTGGTGTTTATCGAGGCGAGTGGCAAATTGAGGGAGGTGGTCGATGAGCGGTATTAGGATGTTGGATGCGTTTTACCAGGAAGCTGAAAGAAAAGGGGGGTCCGGGGGTTCTCCCCCGGAAACATTTTACTATAGAACTTAGGGTTGAGCTTGTCCAGGAAGCTGAAAGAAGGGGGGTCCTGGGGTTCTCCCCGGGGAATCTATGTACCTAGACTTAGGGTCGGGTTTATCCAGGAAGTTGAAAAAGAAGGGGGGTCCGGGGGTTCTCCCCCGGGAAATTGTTATTCTAGACTTGACAGCACATGTCCGATAGAGGAGTGCACTAAGTTACAGACCAAACGGAGATTCGTGCCATAGTCGTCTTTCGACCTCCAGCTCGTCTTTGTACACATCTCCGAATGCGTCCCAATGGATCTTCTCCAGCTCCGGATGGTTGATGATCCCGTACATGGCTTTGGTGAACTCCCAATACTCGGGGTAGTATCCCGCAAATTCCCAATCGACAACCCCGTTCAGTCTTCCCCCACTGATCATGAGATTTGTCCAGTGAAGGTCGGAATGGGTGAAGAACGACCTGTGCGGACGCGAAAGGACGAGAGCTGCCGCTTCTCTCGTTTCTGTGGGCGTATATTCGGGAAGAAGCTGGCTACTGAAGTCGCTTTCCTCGTTGAATGGACCGAGGATTCCAGCACGTTGGTCACAAATCGCGCCCCCTAAGGTATTTGCAAAGCGGAAGGAGGTTTGATTGGGGACTGTTCGAATCTGGTCGACCACAGTTTTCAAGTCTACGGAAAGCTGCCTACGCTCGGGGTAGGACATTCGATGAAAGACATTGTGAAGCGTCTGACCTTGGACCGTTGTCATAATGAGTATTCTGTTCTCGCCGTCGTGGTACTCGTCAATGCAGAGGGGCGCTGGAATTGATGTGTGTTGTTCAACCAAGCGCAAGGCCATGCCCTCGTTCTGTTGGGAGCGCCCGACTATTTTCATGTATAGTCCAACAGGGAGCCGCTTGACCACGGTGCCGGTTTCGAGCGGATAAAGGTACTCTCCGAGGTGAGACAGAAGTTGGTAAGCGCGCACTCTGACGGCCTTGGGCACAAGATGCCAGCACCTGCGCAGTATTTGTAGGGTGGATTTTCCGCAAGCGACTGGCAGACGGTAAATCAGCCCCAGCTTGAGAATAACCATGGTGGATAACGTACATGTGGAAGGCCTAGGCCAGCCAGCAGCTATAAGGTCTTCGACATGAAAGAGCTGCAATGCGGAGGCAATCCTGTAGTGGGTACGAAATAAGGTTGGGCTGGGTAGGCAATACGTCGCTGGGTCAACAGTATCGATCTTGAAGTGTTGGAATCCGGCGAAAGTAGTACCATCGCTGAGAGGAAAATCCTTATAATCTTTTGGGTGCGTACTAGCCACATAGTACTTTATCGCCAGCCCCAATCGGTGACTGAAGAGACTTTTCGTGGGGAGGGGAAGCAAACCTTGGCGGAGTTGCCGTCCTTTAGCTGCAATTCGGCCTGGTCAGTCCATTCGCCAGCAGATGTCGAGGCCACAACCTGGATGTGACCAGCCCGGAAAGCGGAGTGAGCACCCGGGGAGAGAAGCCAAAGGTTCTCGAGTGCCCGTTCGTGGCTCATATCGGAGAGCTTCGTTTGTAGTTGGGATACTTTGGCGGGCGTTAAATAGGCATCCAAGAGTGGACAAAGTGATCCCTGGGTCTAAAAGGCAGGTTCCACCCGACGTCAACAACAGGCAGTTCTCTCTACCGACAAGGCTGCTTACTTCGGGGACTAGTTGGCCATCGTGGAAGATGTTAGGTGGAATGATCCAAGCAGGTTCCGCACGCGAAACGCCTCTAGCGCTTGGATCAACCATAGAACCACCGAGACAGCATTGATCGCTATCCCGGCGTCGGACCAGGCCTTCGAGACCTAGCGGTACATCAACTCGCTGCGAGACTAATGCGATGAAGATGTATTAGTCGATCGCTGGCTGGAATTGCAGGAGGTCTGGTCGCTTACATGTCTGGACCACTTGTTTCCACTCGCTTTTCAAATCTCGCAGGACGCCTTCGACATCGTTAGGAGCATGGGCTTCGATTCTCCTAGCGACATACTGCGCCGCGTATTCGGGATCGACCGCGTGACAGATGAACCTCTTCAGCAGCCAGTGCTCTGTCGGAGTGAGATCAGCGGATGATATCAAGGATAGAGTCGAGCTAACAAGATCTGTCTTCGTCTCCGTTTCATTCATGATGCCGCAAGCCTGAACGCACAGAAAGCAATATAAGATAGAACAAAGGTTGTGGTAGTTGTGTAGTTGTAGTAGTGTCGAGACATTGAGGGGGGCGGGAAGGCAAGTTTCCGGCGGCTCGGGTTTCATTTACCGCCTTGACCACTTCCGGGCAGAAACTCCCCCCGCAAACATTGGCTGGTGCTGTACCGTATGTACAGTACGAGTACAGTACGGTCTGTATCCATGATATACACCTAACATATACTAAGCGCCGTCCAACATTGTTGCTATCTATAGATCGAAACAGGGCATGCAACACGAGATATGTAAGCGCCAGTGCTTGTCTGTTTTCAAACTCTCAACGGACAATATGCGCTTCATGTCAATATTTGAATTGGGGTTCAGATCATGGACCTGACGTCTTCGCCCCGACCGAAGGCAGTATAAACTGATGGATCGCCTTTTCCTAGCCACTGCAATTTCTAGTTAAGTCAATTTCCTCAAGGGGGGGCGCACAAACAAGTTACACATCTTTCCCTCATGGCTCTGCGATTCGAAGCAAATGGCCTTTACATTCTTCTATCCGATCGAGGATCCGCCTCTACCTTCCACTGAGGCCTCTATCTTGCCAAGTCCACCGCCGGCGGGGACATTTTCCACTTAATCAACCCACCCAACTCGACAGTATGGAAATTCGAATCCAAGTCAAGCGACCGCGTGAGCCAGTCCTGGCAACTCCTCGCGGCTTTGAAGATAGGAGTCCTGGAACCTGCTCTACATGCGGCCATAGCCGACCGTCTCGCCCAAGTCCCCATCGAATACTCGACGCGGTTCCGTGAAGCTATCACATGTCGTGTCTGGCTAAAGGAGGCCCTTTTTGCCTTGGATGACGAGGGATACATTAAACTCATGAAGGACATTGGTTCTATTGAGGATGAGGCCAAGGGGCAGGCAGTGCGCAACAGAGTCGCGCGCAAAGTGACGGTCACCAAGAGTGCGGGTAGCATTTCCTAGGGACGCCTGTGGTGCGACTGTGGCTTCATTGCGAGAGATTGAACCCACTCAGTCCTTTCTTAGGTTCGGTTTCCGGTTGCCATCCACTGTATGATGGCTGTTTCTTTTTAGGAGGTGCAAAGTGTGACAGCTAGATCTTTCAGCCTTGATGTCACTCCTTCAAGATGCCGGACCACCAGAGGCAAAGTAAATCATGGGAAGTGTATGCACTCGAATGTTATCGGATGTATCTACAAGGATTGGTTAGATCTCGGAGTATATCTCTGAGTATCTCGAACCCTTCAACTGCTTCTTGAACTCGGTCTTAGATTCTCTTTGATTATCCTTAATTTCAACTAGGTCTCAACTATGAATCTTGACCGGGTCCATAGCCTCGAGTATAATAGCTGCATGCCCGTCTCTCCCCCTCCCGCTCTATAACCCAGCCTACAGCTACAGTACAAAAAAAAAGGAGAGAAAAAGGCAGACAAAAGAAAAACAACATGGATGTCACCTGACTTGTCCATGCGCTGCCACATACATTAGTTTGTTCGATAAGCCTGCATTCCACCAAGACAGTGCGCTTATGTAGCTTACACCCCGCAAGATAAGATAAGATCGACCCTCCACTCCCAACTCTAACCTTCCCTTATTCCTATCATCCAACAACAATCACACATCCAAGCTCACATACTCCGTCTGATCGGCTGAAACCAAGATCATGGCCCTCCCCCCGCCCCACAAACCCAACACCCTCTCCCTCCACCTCCTCGACCGCGGCTCCCCCTCCACCTTCCACTGGACCCTCTACCTCACCACCTCCCCTCCGCACGGCCAGACCTTCCACCTCATCAACGCCCCGGGCTCGGACCTCTGGACATTCGACTCCCAAACCACAGAGGATATCACGCACGGCGGCCGGCTTCTGGTGGCGCTGGAGCTAGGCGAGATAGAGCCCGTGTTGCATGCTGCGGTCGCGGAGCGGCTCGCCCAGGTTTCGGCGGGGTATTCCACCAATTTCCGAGAGGCGATGACGCGTCGCGTCTGGGTGAAAGAGGCGCTGGTTGCGTTGGATGAGGAGGGGTATCTTTTTCTGCCTGTGGGAGGTGTGCAGGGGGTGAAAAATATTGAGGAGGAGGCGAGGGGGTGGGCGATGCGGAATCGGGCTGCTGGACGGTTCAGTATTCAGGGTTTGGGTGGTATATGAGTACGTTTGCTTGGAGGGGGGGAGAATGAGGATAGATTGTGACGGGTGACAGGGAGTTGGTTATTATGCAGCGGAATATATATAGCGGGTCTAAATTCACATTGACCTGTACATTGCTAGTGAAAGACGACGCAAGTTACAGACTGAGATACAAGGGAAGATAAAGATAGTCTTGGAACACATTTGTAGAGTCATGATCTGACAAGACGCTAGGGGAGACATATGTGTTGATTGTGTTGTCAAAAGGTTGCTCACTAAATTGATTTGATTTATGCTGACTCACATAATACAAGGTCATAGAAGCAAAAAACCACCCCTCTCACATCAACAGGGGCTGTGGTTTAGTGGTATAATATTCCCTTAGCATGGGAGAGGTCCGGGGTTCGATTCCCCGCAGCTCCAACTTTTTGCTATTCTCCCGGATACTCCCGCTGTCAAGCCGTCAGGAACACAATACAATCAAAATATGAGCAGCCCTGCAGATCTGCTCCTTTCCACATCACACACTCCAACATGAACCTTGTTTGCTGAGAGCAGCCAGACTACTCGCCCACCTCCCGATCCTCACTCCAATGGGCATACTTCTGCATCACCCGCCACTGCCACGTCCGATGCCGCAACGGTCGGCCCCAGAAATAGAACGGCACGAAGAACACCACCACCACCCCGGCGATGATCGCCATCTCGCCGAACGCCAGGGAATACCCACTCTGATCGATCCAGGGATTCGTGTAAAAGGAGAGGAGGAACCCGAACGCCGCTATCAGTCATGTCAGGTTGACTTTGTCCTCGCAAAATGCCCAAAACACCCAGACCCAACACGTTCGCTCAAAACCTGAGCCAAACACAAAACAGAAAGCGAGACATACCCTTGAATGCCAGTATCGAGACAGTGACCTCCCCCACCGCCGGTCGATAACTGTCAATCACGTACACCATCGTGGCGTTGGTGGCCTGCACGATCGCGAAGTTCAACAACCCCAGTCCCAGCGTCGGCACCATCCAATGCAGCCGGTCGTTGATGCCCACCCCGTACAGGATCAAGGCCACGGGGGCGCACGCCCCGCCGATGACGACCGAGGGGAGGCGCATCTCCGGATGGCGGATGCCCCCGTTGCGGCGCGTGAACCAGTCGGCCGTCCAGTCGGACAGGTGGCCGCCGAAGGCGATGCCGATGGCCGAGCCGACCATCCCGGATACAAAGCAGAGGCCGATCTGCCAGGTCGTGAAGTCGTAGGCCGCGGCGTAGGCGGTCGCGAAGTTGGAGGTGATGGCGACGAGGAAGCCGATGGTCACGGCGAAGACGAGCGAGGTCCAGAGCACTGGCGGGAGGACGATGAGGGCGATGGGGCGGAGGAAGATCTGCAGGAGGGACTCGGTGGTGTAGGTGCCTGTGAAGAGGCGGAGGGAGCGGAGGTAGGGCTGTTTCTTCTGGCGGGTAGTAGGGTTGGGGGTAGCGGATTCCAGGGTGTGGGGGGTTGGGGGGTTGGATTGCTCCGCTAGCAAGGCCTTTTGGCGGTCAAAGGTGGTCTCGGGGAAGGTGAAGATAACCAGCAGAGTGACGCCTCCAATCAACGCGGTCGCCACGTAGTAGATGTACCGCCAGCTCAGGGTGATGGTGATGAGCCCATCAATGATGATCCCGCCGGCCACCCCCATGGAGAGAGCGGCAGTATACAGGGCCATTACCGTGCCTCGCTCATGTAGGAAGAAGATATCGGCAATCGTCAGCGGGCCCAGACACTCCCCGGCCCCGGCTGCAAACCCCATGACGATCCGCCCGGCCAGCTCGACCCCGTACGTCTTCGCAAACCCGGTCCAGAACCCAGTAACAACGTACAAGACAAAGGAAATGACATAGATGGGCCGGCGACCGTACTTGACGATGAACGGCATCCAGAAGAGCATCCCAATCCCCTGACAGAGAGCGGTGGTGCTGAAGAAGTAGGCCACCTTGGAGATATGGGCGCTGAAATCGGGGCCCTGGGGTCCCAGGAAGTCCACGGTGATCTCCACGATAGCCACAGTCGGACCTGCAGACAGAAAATTGCAGAAGAAGACAGCCAGGCAGACGAGGATGGCGATATAATATCGGAACGCAGAGGACCTGGGTGCACATTGGGATTAGTACGACCTGAAGGAAGACTGCCTGGAGACAGGACGATAAGGGGATAGGGCTACCAGTTGAGTGGGTCATTAGGATCCCCCGAAGGTGTAGGGACCAAGAGGATCTCGTTTGTCTCATGATGGCGGAGACGTAGAGTCCCTAAGGTGTCCTTTGGGACGGTCTCATGGTGGGTTTCGGTGGGCTTCGAGTCCATGCTGGGCGGCTAAGGGGGGAGGCCTGGACAGCTGTGCTCGGGAAGAGGAGCTGGTCCTGCCTTATATAGACAAAAGCAACGATGTGCAGGAAACGTCCTTTAGATAAGAGAGGCACGGCAAGTGAAGAGGTGGTGACTGTCATGGTCACTCCAGCATACACCGGTCCCAGCCCTATTCAGATTCACTGTGGCGGTGGGCACCCGGCGCAAAGGGGTTGAGTGTCCTACAGTACAGCAGTCGAAGGAAATCACAGCGTCAACGACCTTGGATCTCCTTTTCCCCCACACTCGGGAACGAGGGTCGTCTTCCCCAGATCTGCGAAATGTAGAGTATGGTACGGAGTAGATGCCTACGAGTCTCAGGTTGAAAGAGCGGGGTAAAGGGTAAGGGGCAAAGTAAGGCAAGTGGTCCACAGCCAGTCCCCGATTGCTGCCGCCACAAACAAAGCCTGAGCCCGAGCCCTAAGCCATTTGCCGACTGTCTGTCGGCCGCAGCTAGTCTGCATATAATTAGTCGGCTCCAGCCCCAATTATTTTCCAACAGCTGAATTAACTTCACACCTTCTATCTCTTCCTCTTCCTGAATCCATTATCAATTGTTACCTCCGACACGATGCAGATAGTCTGGCGCGACTCCGCGCCCCCCGCCGAATACGAGGAGGCCCGCGTGGGCCGAGTCTTCAACCACCGACGTCCCGACCGCTTCCCCCTGGCCGTTGTCAAAGCCACCTGCCAGGAAGACATCATCGCAGCCGTCAAGCTTGCCAAAGCAAAGAACTGTCGGCTTGCCGTGCGCTCCGGGGGCCATTCGTGGGCCGCCTGGAGCGTGCGTGACAATTCGATTCTCCTCGATCTCGGCAATTACAAGCAGCTGGACGTCGATCCCACCACTCGCACGGCGAGAGCCACACCCAGCATGACGGGACGGGAGCTGAATGGCGTCCTCATCAAGGAGCACAATCTGATGTTTCCTGGGGGTCATTGTCCGGATGTTGGGCTGGGGGGATTTCTGCTCCAGGGCGGGATGGGGTGGAACTGTCGGGTACGAGCTCCTTTCACTAGTAGCTGGATTGCCACATTCCGACTGACACTGACTACTAGAATTGGGGCTGGGCGTGCGAGCGCGTCCAGGCTGTCGATGTGGTCACCGCACAGGGCGATGTTCTACATTGCAACGCCACCCAGAACCGGGAGCTGTATTGGGCTGCCCGCGGTGCCGGTCCGGGTACGCGACGGACGCACATTCCAACACTTCTCCCCCCCCCAATCCGATCTCCTAACAAAATCACCTCATAGGCTTTCCCGGGGTCGTCTCAAAGTACCACCTCGAACTCATCCCCTACCCGCGCGACGGCTTCCGCTCGTCCGGCTACATCTACCCGATCCGTCTGTACCATGAAGCCTTCAGCTGGGTTCTGCAGGCCACCCCGGCCTCCGATGAAGACACCGAGATCGCCGTCGTCGCGCAGTACCCCGAGGGAATGGACGAGCTGTGCCTGTTCGTCCTCTTCGTGACGATGAAGCCCGATCCCGCGGCCGCGGAAGCCGCCCTCCGCCCGCTGCACGACTCTCGCCCCGCCGGGGCCATCGTCGAATGGTTCTGCGAGGCCGACAGTCTGGAGAAGCAGTACGAGAACCAAGCCAAAGCCAATCCGGAGGGCCACCGGTACTGCGCCGAGAACGCGTACATCCGGAACGAGGCGGATGTCTCCGCCGTGCTGGAGGAGGCGTTCACCACCCTCCCCCACCGCAAGGCCTTCGCCCTCTGGTACGCCATGTACCCCTGTAGTCGGCGCAAGCTGCCGGATATGGCGTTGAGTATGCAGAGCGATCACTACTTCGCGCTGTATACGGTGTGGGAGGAGGCGCGAGATGATGCGCGCTGTCAGGGGTGGGTGGCCGATGTCATGCAGAAGGTGGCGCCACATGCGGTGGGGGCGTACCTGGGGGACTCGGATTTCCAGGCGAGGAAGACGAAATTCTGGGCAGATGACAATGCGCGCAGGTTGATGGGGTTGAGACGGCGATTTGATCCCGAGGGGCGGATTTGTGGGTATCTCGATAAGGGGGATGCGTCGGGGGTACGAGGGTTGGTCATTGAGAGTGAGGTTAAGTTGTAGGATGCCTTGGTTCTACACTGTTGTTTCCTGGATAGATGAATAAATCGTGAACCGGATTCCGAATACTACTCCCTACAATGTTTGGAATGCTTGGGCAGAGCTAAAATCTTAGCAGCAGCGCTAGTGGGATAAGATCATGGCCGTAGCGCCGATGGCTCAATTGGATCATAAGATGCTATGACTAAGCGGCATCTTCCCCAGGTTTTAGCCTTGGCAGGATTAACAGGCAGTTGGTGATGTATTGAGGCACCGTCTGAACGAGCACCCCCACATTCCGCTCCTTCTTCGTCTTTATTGATGACATAGATAGTATATTTGAGATGACTGAAGCACAATCCCAGCAGAGGAAATCACTTGTTATCACGAACGCTCTCAAGCCGATGTCTCTCCCTGCAAAGCGTGGACCCAGATATTATAGCACACAGCTTGAATGCGGGTCTTAGCCACCTATTTAGGCAGAAAGATATACCGGAGAACTAATTTTCCGGCACTAGCCGGCCAAGCTTGCTAGGAATCGATCGCTCGATCGACTGGGAAAGCAATCTCCCAGTCTCTTCCCGGAGAGCCCACCTCCTCGGGAGTAAGTAGCACCTCAGACATCAGGACAAAAAATGAGGAAGAATGAATTGAGCTGATCGGGTTGTGGAGACATTCGGAAGCACAGGTTGACATGTCCGCCGGCTGGTGTGGCAAGACATCCGACAAGCAAGCCCTACCATGCGGGATCCGCAGTCGTCACCCTGCTAGAAAATGTCCACATCCACACATCCCTTATGGTATAGCTTGGTCACTCCTGACAGAGACATTCCTTCATCAAGCTGACCATTCCACACCGACTATCAAAAATGGCCCCCCCGACTCGCCTTGCCCAGCTCAGCGACCAACTAAGCCAACAACCCCCATCCAGAACCACAATGACCACCACCCCGCAGACCCTCAAAGACAAAGTCGCCATCATCAGCGGCTCCTCCTCCGGGATCGGCGCCGCCATCGCCCGCGAGCTCTCCGCGCGGGGCGCCAGCGTGGTCATCAACTACCCCTTCCCCAGCCTGAAACCTCAGGCCGACAGTGTGATCGCCTCATTGCCGTCGCCCGCCATCGCCGTCGAAGCCGACATGTCCACCGCCTCCGGTCCGGGCCAACTGGTCTCCGCCACCATGGCCAAATGGGGCCGGCTGGACATCGTGGTGAACAGCGTCGCAGTGGCGGTCAACAAGCCGCTGGAGGAGCAGACCCTCGACGACTGGGACGCGCTGGTGAACCTCAACGGACGGGGGACCTTTCTCCTCACGCAGGCGAGCCTGGCGCATCTGACGAGAGGCGAAGGGCGGATCGTCAATATCTGCAGTCTCAGTGCGCGGGCGCCGCCGCCAAATCAGACCATCTATGCCGGCACCAAGGGGATGGTGGATTCTTTTACGAGGTGTTGGTAGGTTTTACTCGCCTTGTCTCCGAGAAAGGTTGTCGTGGGGAGAGGGGGGTTGATTGGGCTAATGAACGTTGCAGGGCAAAGGAGCTCCCCCCTAAGTATGGCTGTACGGTCAACGCCGTCAGCCCCGGGCCGACGAGGACGGAGGGGTTCGCTGCGGCGGGCGAGGAGCAGATGAAGATTCTACAGCCGATCATCGACCAGACGCCTGTGGGGCCGAGGATGGCGCAGCCGGAGGAGATTGCCTGGGCGGTGGGGTTTCTGTGCGAGGAGCGGTCACGGTGGATCAATGGGGTGCATTTGGTGGCTTCGGGGGGATTGTTTGTGGATTGATTGGGGGTTGCAGAGTGCTTTCGAAGTTACTGGTGGGGCTATTCAAGGTGGGGATGATTCATGTACTTGTCACTTGGGGGGAGACAAGCACGGAGAGACATAGCGACGACAGAAGAAATATGAATGTCAAAGAATTATTAGGTCGCTTTGATAGAGCTAGGTCGAACCATGGAAAATATGCAGGCGCCTGCGCCGCATTGCGAAAGTTCCATCCAACCCCAAATTCCCCGAGAAGAAATCCATTGACACCAGATTCTCACGACGCCATCACTACCAAAAACCAAGAAAAGGAAGAAAAAGAAAGAAGAAACCGCTCCTAGAGGGTATTACCCGTTGGATTGCCGTAGTACCACTCTCCCAGCTCCTTGAAAGTAGGAGAAATCTGTGCCGGAAAACTGTAAAAGGCCGTGCGCCTCAGAATCAGGAGCTGCCCATCGTAGTACGCTTCAATGGCACGAGCACGTTTGCCCATGAAGGACACCATGAAGACCTGTATGGCAATGCCTGATCAGTCATTTGTCCCTGTGCTGTAACGAGGGAGGATGATAGAGAAGGAGGGAGAGAGAGAGAGAGAGAGGGAGAGAGAGAGTTAGTGTGTGGTACCGGTGCAATCATATATTCCAGAAGAGGCCGTTTCCTCAACCGACCCAGCATCACCCGAAGAAGGATCAGAAGCTCTCCACGAAGCAATCTGTGATGGTCCCCCTCCATGTTGTTATAGATCGCCGCTTTGCTGTGTGGGAAGTTCGATCCGCGGATGTCCATTCGACTGGAAAGCACCGAACTCGGGTTGGTCGAATTGGTACACGTGCTTGTAAGTCCTGTGATCGCCAGGACTGGATGCCCATGTTGGTGCGAAGGGTTGAAACCATTGAAAGGCGCGCAGTCAGAGTCAAGGGGAGACTCACTCTCCCGACCACCATGGCCAGCCCTCCAGTCTAATGATGAGCTGGAACAGGGTCGCACCATAGCGTCTATTCTATAGGTTTTATAGCGTGTGATAATCTGTGATAATCTGTGATAAATTAAAACAATTAATTGCAAGGCTGTGATTGTAATGGATGGATGGACCGTCGGAAGTGGTGGTGGTAGTGGTCCTCAAGGCTGGCAAGCTGCCGCGGGCTCAAGGTTGGCCCGGCGACGCCGCCCGGGGCCGACTATGGGGGGGGATCCCCCAAGTGGTTAGACCGCAATTAATAAGCGCCCAGCCCCGCGCGGATGTCAAACCCGCTTTTGAACTACTAAGATAGTTATAGCGCTGAGTATCGAGAGGCTTCAAGTTGTCTAGGATGATACAAGGCTTTCACTAAGGTGGTCAATCCTTAAATCTAATTGGGTATCAACCAGTAGTTGCCAAGTCAAAGCATGTTTGAAGAATAATAGTCAGCATTCACTCAGCATCTACTCATATTTCATTTCTTCTACACTCCAAAAGCATGTTGAGTTCGCCTACAAGGAGAACCGGCAACGAAAAGCCGTTTGAACTATCGAAAGAGGCCGACCTCAGTTCCAGTGAAGAAGAGCCCAGTCCTTATCAGCTATACTCCCCGGTCCCATCCGAGTTGATCAACGTCTTGTACCCCCCCCAACAAAAGATGAACAGATTGTGAATACCGCCCTGATTTTCTTCCTGAATGCTCTCACTATTCACACCAAACTTACCTCAAACTGGACCCTACATCGTCGAGCATTTACCGCCAACTTTCGCGAGGCCCAATTCGAAGCACAAACAAACGGATACTTGCACGATCGCCGTGGGAAGCCATGTGTCAGCATTGAAGTAAAGCCGGTTCACTGATGTCACAAACTGGTGACTATTCAGATGCAGGAGAGTGTTCAAATGATCGCTTGGATTTTGAGTGATGACGAGCCCGCCCAGAGGCGTCACCAGGAGTAAGCTCTCTGAAGCTCCGTATATTCTCTCGCTCAAACCTTTCGCCGTCTCTGACAACATGAAACCCAGAAGGGTCCATATCGCGTAGGATCGACACGAGATCTGTGACCGTGGCCGAGTACAACGACCACTATCTAGCGTATTTGAAGGGCACCGACGTCTCATCAACCCCGCCGAAAGACGATACATCATTTGTCAAGATGCACCAATATGGTCCGTGGAATACATTAGATGCCTCTCACGTACGTGAGCCGGGAAAGCTTCTGCTTGCAATCACGTTGAGAGCAGAAGACGAGTACAGAACCAATTGATTGATCTCAACTTATGGGTCGGTTCTGGATGAGGGCACTTCGCACGCCGTGAGATTGTGCTACATGTTAAATCATAATGCAAAGAATCATAACTGTGTTCCTCCTTATTCTTTTTTCCTTTAAGTCTCTACATCTTCAGTTTCTTCTCTTCACCTGTTGTTTTTCTTTTCTGGTATTCTTGTCCTTACCACTCTATGACCTGATCCAGCCAACTATAAATACTGTCTTTTTATTCTTCAAAACATCATGAGCTGACAATAGCCTTCGAGGATATATCATGTCCTGTTTGCCGGCCTCTTCACCTTCTCTCCACCTTCCAACCAACCCCATTCTCCACCTTTGTGATGCAGATCACAACAACTACCTATCGATGTCGCGACAAGAAAGACAAGATTGAAAGATTATATGCATTGCTGTTTAAGGTCTTCATATGTGGTGAGCCTTCATGAGGATGTTTTAGTCTCCCTTGGCCCGGCTCTTCCTCTTTTCCATAGACACTCCCATCGAGAAAGCAGCTATCATCTGCCAACCAGTTGAAGTTCTCAGGCGTTCAAGTTCGACCTTTGCTGCGCGTTGCCCCATTCTATACTCAGAAGACTTGGATACGCGATAGCTAGATCATCTTACATAAATCAAACATGCATGCAGCTCAGCTCCGACACACACCCAGACACCAAACAATTGCTTCCTCATTCAGCTGCTATTCTTCCCCCCTGTATCAAACTCCACCACAATCGTCTCCCGATCCTCGTTCGAACTCTCCTCCGACTCGGCGTACCTCGGTTTGCGCTTTTGCTCCCTGTCATCATTACATCAGCATCATTCACGCTGTCTTGCGGTCCTGCGTCTCTTACAATCGATGTATCACGAGGACCGAGATGAAAGCGGCCCAGAGCAGAAAGAAAAACGCAAAGGAGGCCGGCCACCCCTTGCGCCAGCGGGGAGCGCCGTCGGGGCCTGCAGTCGGAAAAAGGAGCAGGGGCACCCAGATCTGGAACGAGTAGCCGAAGGTCATCATTGAGCCCTGGATCTAAGTCAGCTATGGAGTTGATGGGGAGGGTGCGGGTAGGGTAGGGGAGCAGACCATGATGAGGGCGCGCTCCTCCGAGTCGTCCTTCACGATCGTGTTGACAGTCGAATAGAGAATGGGGCTCAAGCATCCGGCTGTACCGAAGAGGTACCAGGCGACGAATCTGGACGAATTCAGGTTAGGGGCTTGGAGACAGAGACCCAGACAAGGGGGTAGGGCTACGCACTTTAGCCCGCGCGGGATGTCCCAGATAATCATGCACAAGGAGGAAAACAGGCAGCACGCTGAGGAGAAGGTGTAGAGCGCCCAGGTGGGGTAGATCGCGGCCAGCGTCGTTCCCAGCCACGAGGCGACGATGTTGATGGCGTAGGTCACGGTCGGGAGCTTGTTCACCTGCGGCACCGAGTAGCCCTCGGCCTGCAGCCAGAGGTTCATGTAGGAGACTGGATAGGAGGAAATGATCATGCATCTGAGAGAGTATCAGCGTCAAGCCCGGCGGATCGTAAGCCAAAGGAATCGAATGACTCACGCGTAGATGAAAATGAAAATCCAGATATGCCACCGCTTCAGCGTCCGCTTGAAAACATCAAGGCTCATCTTCCCAGGGCGGCGAATGTTGGCCCTGCGCGCTCGGTCCTTGGCCAGGGCGATGTCATCCTCGGTCAGGAAAACAGTCCGCGGGGAATCGGGCACCCCGGGAAAGATGAAGAAGCCCAGGATTGCCACGGGGATGGTGAAGATCCCGTCGATGATGAACAGCCAGCGCCAGCCTGGCATGCCGCCGACCCCGGACAGGTTCGTGTAGGCGGCCGCTTGCAGGTATCCGCTCACCATGGTGCCCAAGGCATTACAGATGAACCATGTGCCGGCTCGCTTGAAGAGCTCGGGGCCGGAGTACCATGAGCCTTGAAGAGAGTTAGTGTAGGCGGAGGATAGGAGGGAGAATTACCGACCGAGGATGAAATGCGTTCCTGCGAACACTGGCGCTTCAAACATGCCCACGAGAACTCGAAGGGCATAAAGCTGGTGGACATTCGTGACTCGGCTCTGCGCAAAGGTGCATACTCCCCACAAAACCTCGAGCGTGGGAAGAAGCCACCGTGCCCTAATCTGGTTAACGATGGAAACGCTGTCTTGAAGGAACGCAATCTTACAATTTCGGACGCGACATTAACAGCAGGCCCGGAACTTGAAAGACCACATATGCAGTGATATAGCATGTGTTGAAGTAGTTGAGTTGGTTGCCATTGAGTTGGAAGTCTTCCTTCAACCCGCTAACATATGCATTGCTGATATTCGTTTGATCTGGGGGGGTTCGTTAGTCCGCGGGCGGATTGGCTGGAAGTGCTCATCTTACCCAGATATTTGACGAAGACTAGAGAACATTTAGCACACTGTTCAAAAGTAAAGAGCGGGTGGTCTTACAGCAAAGACAGGCAAATATGAGGATTGACAAATCCAGCTTGAACAGCAACCTATAACATTAGACCTTGGTTGATTCTCAAAAATCATGAGGATCACTAGACTCACTTGCGCTCATTTGCCGGGTAGTTCGACGGATACCAGTTGAAGATCTCCTTGCAAAGCCCCCAGGGCCCCAATTTGGCACGAGCTGCGGCCTTGTCGGACATCGTGACGAGTCCTTGCCTGTGTCAACTGGGATGATCTTTTCGTGGCCGGCCTCCGACTTCGACACATCTGCCGATTGATCCGGGAATTTATACTCCAGTCAGTGGTGACACCAATGAGGCAACTGAGACGACGAATTGTTGTTGAGATATTTGCCATGACTCCACATCTTCTCGCCATAGATGCGTGCGGCGAATGTGACAGGGACAGGGGCCAGGGAGGGGCCATGACCGCAACATCTTGGTGCGGGATGGCGTGCCACAACCCTGGTCCAGCAGAAACTCAATCAGTTGTTATCTCTAACATGAGTCAAGTATGGGGCGTTTGAGTGGTTGGAGCGAGTTGAGATCCTCGATAAGAATGGCGTGCTTTGCAGTGCGGGTTGGCAATTCACTCAACGGAACGAGTGCCGTGCGGGGTTGAGTTGATGCATCAGCAATGAAATCATGTCCATGATTTACTGCTACAATTTAAATGGACTTGCTTTCACCCGGTCAATATTGTTGGAAAACAAAAATACCATCAATCTTTGTGGAGAGAGAATCTCGAGAATGCCAGCCAGATTGATTGACAGATACGACCACGTCCCCGTGACGAAGGAGAAACGTATGTAGCACCCTCCAATCAAGGTTTCTATGCAATGCGAGATTACTGACGAAGTAGTCCCTTGGGCTGAGCTCGTGACTCTCGACCTGAGTCAATACGACCAGCCGGGAGGTAAGGAAGAGCTTGTCAAGCAGCTGGACCATGCCGTGCGACATGTGGGTGAGTATTCGTACCCCTCGCAACCACCGTAACGAACATCTTCAGCCCTAATCCCGCCCTCAAGGCTTCTTCTACGTGAAGAACTTCAACATCAGTCAAGATGAGATCGACCGCCAATTCGCACTTGGCCGCGAGTTCTACGCTCTTCCATTGGAAGAGAAGCTCAAGTACCACAACAGCGCCGATCTCGCGAGTGGCGAGTACAACGGCTACAGGCCTGCTGGCCACCGCGTGTAAGCTCTCCCATCTGATTCAACTCATAAACCTGGTTGACATTCCCCAGTCTCGGTAACGGCATTCGGGATAATATTCAAGTCTACAACATCCCTAAGTTCGACGGATACCACAAGCGCCAGCAACCACCTGTGCTGGAAGACAATATTGCAGAGATCGAAGCATTCAGCCGGGTAGACTGCACTCTCCCTCCCGCAGTGATTACACAAGTCACTAAGTGAATGTCCAGAAATGCCACAGCGAAGTCGTCGTCAAACTCCTCCGCCTTTTCGCGATCCTGCTCGAGCTCCCCGATGAAGACCAACTTGTCCGCGACCACCAGTACGACGTCAAAGGGGAAGACCACCTCCGCTACATGCACTACGCTGCGCGCAGCAAGGAGGAGAACTCCCAAGTGGCCAGCATCTACACCCCCGGCCACACGGACCTTGGCACCGTGACCCTCCTATTCCGCCAGCCCGTGGCGGCGCTCCAAATTCTCAACTCGGAAGGGGAGTGGAAGTGGGTGCGTCCGCAGGACGGGACAATCACCATCAACACGTGCGATGCATTGACAGCGCTCACGGGTGGGTTGATCAAGTCGAGCATTCACCGGGTACATGCTCCGCCGCCGGATCAGGCGCATGTGGATCGGTTGGGGGTTTTGTACTTCGCACGGTGGGTTTGCACTTTTCATCCGTCATACTCTCCGCAATGAAGGGCTAATGTGGAGGATATAGGCCCAACAACCATGTGGTACTGGATCCGATCACGAACAGCCCGCTGCTGAACCGGCTCGGACTCACCCAGAATGTGTTCACAGAGTTGGGGCAGCATCTGACGACGGAGCAGTGGGTCAAGGTGCGGCAGACGCAGCAGCAGCGCCGCAATCGGGATGTGAAGGTCTCGGATGATGGGAAGTTCACATATGGGGAGAAGGACCTGGAGATTCTGCCTGGGCTGGAAGCCAAGATTTATAATTAGCAATTTCCAATAGAATACCGGATCTACATTCACCTGCACGCTGCACGTGACAGTCATCCCAGCTAAGTTGTGTTTAGAATTTGGTTGTGATTTCCAGTTTTCACCCTTACATTCACAGGTTGCACTTGCCTCACACGTACCTTAAGCGGTGAGTTGCAGTTCACCTTGATTCACCTTTCCTCCTGCGAGAGACTGGGTGGAAACAACCCAATCTCAACACACCTTGATGCATTCTCTCCTCTGCATGGTCTTGTTTCTTTGCTACGATGTTGCGCCAGTGTGGGATTCGATCCAGTCTGGGTCGAGCGGCTAGAAATCCGGTCTTTCGACAACAGACCAAGAAGTTTCATTACGCGAAACGCTCCCCAGCAACCCAGCTGAGGTACCTGACAGCTACTGGTCTTGCCGCCACGTCGGGCCTGTATTGGTGGTGGTCTTCCTCAGCCAACAGAGATGGTGTGCCCCTGCCTGATGAAGCACCTGCTCAGAATCTATTCGCCCAGCCTTCTTTCTCCCACGATGAAGTTACACGCATTCTATCCAAAGACTCATACTCCTTTTCAGTGCGAGATGTTCCTGGCATCGACCGTCATGATGGCGCCCAGCTCGCATCTAACAGCCCCTGCGAGGACCGGCTAACCTATGCCAAGTTTTCTTCCTCGTGGCACAGCGACAAAAAACCCTGGATGGCGTGGGCAGTTTTCGACGGTCATGCCGGCTGGCAGACGGCAGAACTCCTCAAGAATCAGCTCGTTCCCTCTGTGCGTCACAGCCTTAGCCAGGTGACGCCTATTCCGGACGTAAACCAGTCGGTCGCAGGCGAATATACGGTCCCATGCGCCATCAGCAATGCATTCGTGGATCTCGATGATGCCATTTTCAAGACCGCCTTGGAGGCGTCGCAGAGTAATGAGCCTCTACACCAGAGGGTCCGCGACCTTCTCCCGGCCTTTGCTGGCTCCTGTGCATTACTATCGATCTTCGATCCGGACACCAGTGTATTACACGTGGTATGTACTGGTGACTCACGCGCCGTGCTTGGACGACAGCAGCCCGACGGGAGGTGGGAAACAATTCCTCTGTCCATTGATCAGACTGGGAGCAATGAAGAAGAGATTGCCCGAATTTATAGCGAGCACCCGGGCGAGGAAGACATTGTTCAAGGTGGACGCGTACTGGGACTAATGGCCTCCCGGGCGTTTGGGATTGTCGGTGGAAATGGCCCGTGGAGTTCCAGCAGGAAATTCGCCAATGATTTTACGGCCCCGCACCGCTGACCCCCCGCTACGACATTCGCACCCCGCCCTATGTGACTGCCCAGCCGGTCGTTACCACCGTCAGCATTGATCCGAAACAGCCTTCGTTCCTGATCATGGCTACGGATGGTCTGTGGAATATGCTCTCCAGTCAGCAGGCGGTCGAACTGGTCGGGAAATAGCTGTCTGGAGGCGCGGAGACTGGGAAGGGCAGCGCCACATCCCCCGCAGCCTCCGACGAACCCTTCGATTTTGGTCATTTCTGGGAAGGCGTCAACTGGAAGTTTGTGGAGGGCCGAACGACCGTGCAGGATGACAATGTGGCGGTGCACCTGGTGCGTAATTGCCTTGGTGGCAGCGATCTCGAGTTGTTAAAAGGGAGATTGTCCTTTGACCCTCCGTTCTCCCGGACTCTGCGTGATGATATTACTGTGCAGGTGGTGTTTTTCGGGGTTATGAAGAATAGAGACAAAAGATGACTTCGACTGTGGAATTGCTATCGCAATCAGCGAGGATTCAGAATGCTTGGACGGAAATCCAGGCCATGTAGCTTATCCTCAGCCGGCTAGATTCAAAGAAGATATGAGTAGTATGCCACCTTGCAAGCTTGTGTTATATGCAACTGGATGTTGATCAATTACAGTACCTCTTAGACCCGGAGAGGTCGGCCTCGGAGGTTCGATCGCCAAGCTTCAGTCCCAACTCCGGTGGAGAAATCCTGCGTAACCATTCCATGAATTCTCCGCTGGCTACCTTGATTGTAGTGTTCTTGGCAAGTCCCTCTGGGTCTGTGGGGAAATGCTGGAGTCGACGAACGAACTGCATAAATAAGGCCGGTTTCCCGTCTCAAGCCCTGTCACAGGCCATAATCAAAATCACCTACCTCAGCAATGCACATCTCCTCCCTTCTCTCGGCTACAGCCCTTGTGGCTACCGCCACAGGCGCTGTCCTACCACGTCAGGACGATTCATACTACGGCTACCTGCTTTCCACATTCACGGACGCCGACCCGCGGGTCTTCTGGTACCTGTCCACTGCCGACGATCCCCTGGCATTCACGGCCCTCAATGGCGGCATTCCGGTGCTAGAATCGACTGTCGGGACCAAGGCCGTCAGGGATGTGTTCCTCACGGCCAACCAGGAGAAGTCAGAGTATTTTGTCATCGCCACTGGTGCGTATCCCCGTCCCCACATCTCAGGAAGGTGCACCACCACGAAACAACCGTGACTAACGGATGTAGATCTGAATATCAACGCAGACGGATTCTCCTGGGACGAGGCCACGCGCCGGGGCAGTCGAGGCCTGACTGTGTGGCGATCGGAGGATCTGATCGACTGGTCTGAGCCTTCCTTGGCAATGTATGCATCCAGTACATCCCCCCATCCCCTCAAGCCTGCTCTAACATGCACCATCCAGCATCGAAGACGCAACCGCCGGCATGGCCTGGGCCCCTTCAGTGGTTTGGAACACGACCGAAAGCCAATACTACCTCTTCTGGTCGTCGCGTCTCTACGACCCCACCGACACCAACCACACCGGCACGGCCACCCTCGACCGCATCCGCTACACCACTACCACCGACTTCGTGACCTTCGCCCCGCCGGCCGACTACCTCGCCCTGGACAGCGAGAACATCCCCCTCATCGACCAGGAGTTCCTGGCCCTCGGGGATGCACCCGGCCACTACGTGCGGTTCCTCAAGGATGAGAACGTCCTCCACGTCTACCAGGAGACCACCACGGGGGGCCTGTTCGGCGAGTGGACCCGCGCGGAGGGGTATATCCAGGATGGAGTGGTGTATGAGGGCCCCGCGGCGTTTCCGGATATTCAGGACGCCGACAAGTTCCATTTGCTGCTGGATAATTATGTCGAGTATGTGCCGTTCGAGAGTACGGATGTTGCCGCGGCGGAGTGGGTGGCCTCGGATCGCACGGGGTTTCCGTCGGGGTTGAAGCATGGGAATGTGGTGCTGGTGACCAAGGGGCAGTATGATGCTCTTGTTGCACAGTATGGAGTGTAGAGTCGAGGGTTGTTGCGGGGATGGGGGTGGGGATGGGGACGAAGACGGAGAAAATGGGCTGATCGACGGCGTCCCGTCGGGATTTTGCCGGTTGGGGTTAGGGTTCCGTTGCTGAGGACTTGGCGAGGAGGTTGACTGCCAAGTGCCAAGATGGAGGGGTTCAGGTTTGAAGGATGATGATGATGATGGTGGTGATGATTTCCTGCATGTTCAAGCTATTCTCATCAGCGATTAAACAGGAATGTTTAGATGAGGCTGAAGATATCTGTCTTCCTGGCTGCACTACTATATGCCGTCAGGTTGAATGAGAATACATCCTAATAAGGAACACTTTCCAGTCTTTGATATTTGATAGCTATCAAGAAGCCATTGTACATACAGTCAGCAAAATAGAAATTAACCCACCAGCAGAAGCCCCTACTCTACCCAATACTTCCTCGCCCACTCCTCCGCCGTCAACGCCCGCAACCCCACCTGATAATTCCACGTCTCCTGCAAATCCCACGCGACGCCCCTCCCCTCCCCAAACACAACCTGGTACTTGAACAACCCATTGCCAGGCTCCTTCTTCAAATCCGCTCGCGCAGCATCCACTGTCCTCACCTCCCGCTTGAATTCCCTGCCAGTAACCCTCTCCACCAGCCCCGCTAACTCCCCGTAACTCAAGGTATCCCCCGCCACCTTCAGCACCTGATTCCCAACCACCCCTCCCCAAGACCCCCCGAGCACCACCTCCGCCGTAATCCTCCCAATATCCTCCACGGCCGTAACCGTCACCCGGTTCTCCCAAGTCCCCAGCGCCCGCACAACCCCCGCACGGGCATCCACCACCCCAAACCCCGTATCAAAGAGAAAGCTCGTGAACATACCCGTCGACACGATCACCCATTGCGTCGCAGTCTGCGAGCGGAGCAACACCCGCACGTCCAGCTGCTCGTTGAACAGCTCCTGCGCCGATCCCCGGCCGATCACGTCGTAGTTTACCCCAAACTGCCATGGAATGTAGCGCGGGACCTGCGCGGCGAGGACGGCGCGCGCGAGCTTGAGCTGCACGCCGGGTCCGGCGGCGAAACCCGTGCAGCTGATGATGGTGTCGTAGTTTCGGAAGAGCTGCGTCAGGTGAGACTCTGGGTCTGTGGCGATGTCGCTGGGGAGAGAGTCGATGTTGAGAGTGTGCAGGGTGGTGGTGAGTTCGTCGTTGGGGGAAGCGATGCGCGAGGGGCGGAGGAGGACGGTGAGTTGCGTGGCGCCGCGGTTGAGGTGCGTGGCGAGCGAGCGGAGGACTTGCATGCCTAGCTCCCCGGCGCCGATGACTAGGATGTTCTTGGGGGTGGGGGACATGATGGCTGTGTAGTGACTTGACTGAGGAACTATGTTGGTAAAACCAAAGTGGAGAAGTTACTGGCTTATATGTGCTTGTTGTGGATTTATAATCAAATGTCAGTTCTAGTTCAGGGTTGGTCAACTGGCAAGCATCGGCGACTTTCCTACGGCACTTCGCCGCCTCGCCTCCTGCTAAGCTACTTACTTCTCACTCCACTGCGGCCACCCAAGATATCCCTCCTCTCCGGAAGTGTAGAAGGTAGGTCGATGGTACTTGGTCAAGGGCAGTCCCCTAAACAGCCGCTCCGGCAGATCCGGATTAGACGTGAAATACCGCCCGAAGGCCGCGAGGTCGATACGACCTGCAGTCACTGCCGCGTCAGCCAAGCGGAACCCTAACTCATCCACGCCAACTGGGCCACACTCACCTTCCTCTATAGCCTGCGCAGCAGAGACAGCATCATACCCACCAGCCCCAATAACCGGCGTAGTCTGCAGAATCCTCCGAAACGGCCAAATCGACCTCTCCTCTCCCCCATCCACCCTCTTTTCCCGTGCAATACACCCCGCGAACGCCCCCTCCGAACTCCCCAAGTCATACCGCGGCTCTACGAAATGCACATACGCCAACCCCCTCGCCTCCAGCGCGGCCGCAAACGCCCCAAACGTAGCCACCCGATCCCCATCCCCGGTGCCCTGGAGCACATGGAATGGCGCCAGCCGGACCGCCGTGCGCCGCGCCCCCACCGCATCCACCACCGCATCCACCACCGCCAAGGGGAACCGCAGCCGATTGCTTACCGCCGGCCCACCATACTCATCCCCTCGCGTGTTGATATTATCGTGCACAAAGCAATCAAGCAAATACCCGTTCGCCGCGTGGATCTCGACCCCGTCGAACCCCGCGACCTCGATCGCGCGCCGCGCCGCCGCAGCAAACTGCGCCACCACCTCATGGATCTCGGGGATCGTCATCGCATGGGAGGGAACGTATGGCTCGCGCTCAGCTTCGTCGGGCCCCGCCCCGAACGAGACATGGTACCCCGGTAGATGGGCGGTCGTGGAACTCAGCGGCGGCTGGCCGTGGGAGAGACGCGGCACGGAGACGCGGCCCACGTGCCAGAGCTGCGCGAAGAAGGTCCCCCCGCGCGCGTGCACGGCCGCCGTGATGGGTTGCCAGGCCCGGGCGTGCGCGTCTGTCCAGAGCCCCGGGGTGCGTGGGAAGCCCTTGCCCCGCGGGTGGATGGTTACGCCCTCGGAGATGAGGAGCGCGCCGGGCTGGCTGGTGCGCTCGGCGTAGTAGGTTGCTGCCGTGGGGTTGATGAGGCCTGTTGTGTTGGAGGCGCGCATGCGGGTCATTGGGGCGAGGACGACGCGGTGGGTGAGGGTGAGGGCGGGGCTGGTGAAGGGGGCTTGCAAGGGGGAGGGGCTGCAGGAGCCCATCTTGAGGTGTTGTGGTTGGGATTTGGGTTTGGGTGTTGGTGGGGGGTTTGCCACTAGGGGAGTCTGGGATGGGGATGGCGGGATGGGGTGGTCAGGGCTTTAAATACCGTGCGTAATATTCCCGGCACCACGATGGCGTGGTAGTGGCTCGTTTCCTGCTTCTTATCAATCCGGTTATACAGGCCAGATAAACTAATATCTATGTCGCATGCAATGTCGCTCAAAGGGCGCCGTGTGATCATAGATATCGTTTCTTCGCATTCATAATTCGCCGTATCGTTGCAGGCCGGTGCCAATTGGATTTGTAAGCCCTACATGATAGGGTCCGGTGGGCGGTGGTCGTATCAGAAAAATGGCTTGGGGCTACTGTTTATCAAATGTCCTCCGCATGGCTGACGACTCATTATTAATCCTAAATATCTTCGTCAATTTCCTTAACATTTTATAGTAATTCACTACTAGATGTAGCCATTTCCGCCCAAATCGCCCTCCCAGCCTCCTCTGATGCACCGTCCAGCCAGGCGAACGACTGCAGAACTTGTAGAAGGCCATCCCAAGAGTCAATCCCAAGCACACTACAATACTCCCTCATCCTAGCTACAAACCAATCCCTGATCGACGGAGTAGCATCCGCACAGATCCCCGCCACCATGCAACACCACAGAAATATCTCCCATCTATGGTTTGCTATCTCGCGTCCCTGCAGCCGAACCATATCCTCCTGTATCTCCTTCGTCAGCGTAGCCCGTAACCGTGACATTTTCGGAAGAGGCAGGACCACGCTGGCGCCATAGAGGAGGGCTGTACTCCGACACATAAGATACACGGCAATCGATCGTCCCTGGTCCTCCGCCGTACATCCCGGTCTCTTATGCAGGATGGCGCTGGCCCGGTCCCTGTGATCAGGCAGACTGCACAGCCGATGCAGGACGCTGGCCCGCGTATCGCCTATCTGTGTCAGCAGGGTGGCGCCGCAGGTCTCGCTACTGAGAATATGCAGGGCGTGGGTGATCTCGTTTAAGTCCAAAAAAACGCGAATGATGTTGCCCTTGACTGGTGGGGACAGCAGGGCAAGCTGCTGGAAGCCATGGTTGCGGAGCGTGGAATGACGCGGTGGCGTGCGGATGGAGAGGGCTTGCAGGGGAGCGCGGTGTAAGCAGGGTTTCCCCTCAGGGGATATAAGTGGGAAGACGGGTTTGCGATGTGTGTTTATCGCGATGATCAGGCCCGATCTGGAAAATGGTCTCATTTATTAGCATGGGTTCAAGGGGGAGACGGGATGAGAAACGAACATAGAAATCAGCCAGGCCAGTCCGTACAGCTTTACCGTCTCGAGACCTCCCCGCTCGAGAACGATATGCTGGACAGTCTGCCAGTGGAGCGGGTGGAACTCGCAGCTGCCGTAGAATTCCATGAGCTGCAGGCTGCGAAAGGGCGGGACAAATGGGGTCGTGTCCGGTGGCTCGACATGGTCGAGGTTCTCATTGGCGGCGAGGTACAAGATGCTCAGCAGGATGTCGTCGACCCAGTCGCAACTGATGTTGTGTTGAGTGACGGTCGACAGCTTCTCCCGGATACGGACCATGACGGATCCTTTGAGTCGGAGTTGCTCTGCCGTGTCCAACGAGACCTGCTTGGTGGCGCCCCGTATCATTGGGAGGGCGTTGAAGTGGAGGGAGGCCGAGTACAGCATCGATTGCACGACCATCGGGCTTCTGGTGGGGTGCAGGTAGGCCTGCAAACTGCGCTCGGCAAATTCGCAGGGGCGGGCCATTGGCCACAGCACATGGATGCCTCATGCAGGGTTAGCGGGCTGCCACGTCCTTGCTATGAAAGTATGACCTACAGTGGTGGAGAAGGAGATTGAAATGAGGGGTTTTCTGGTAACGATCCGCGAGGAAGGGATCGATCTGGCTGTTGCGGAACTCCCAGGGTTTGGTGGTAGCAGGGAGTCTCCCGTGACCAGACCTGACACCAGCGCATTTGAGACATATTGTGGCATTAAGGCCTGTGTCAAAAAGAGGCCTTGGTTGAAGAGCTCGTGGATGTCGAGACGTGCAAGCCTGATCAGTAGGCGTCCTGGCTCGCGCAATCTCTAGACCATCTGCAAGCACTTCCTCGGTGCATAGGCAGACGAGCAAACCCGGCGTAATACATTGGGCATGAAGACTGCTGTTTACCTTCTTTGCTCTCTCACAATGTCGGCGACGCATCAGCTGCGAGCGAATCAGCGAGGCGTTGCTTGTGGTTCCTCGTATCGTCGGGCCGTGTACGAAAGTGTACGGGTAGGTTGCTCTCCCATCAGAGGCCATGTTGCTCTGACATTTGTCTCTCTGTGGATGTTGGTCGTAGTCTACACCACTCGATCTGTTGGCAGATGAGTTTGTGACCGTACAAGGGGTTTGGATAAACCGTTGACGATAAGATCATTAGCCGGAAAAGGTAATATCTCCCGCCTGCTGATTGGGTGAAGCTCCCGCCGCTAGAAAATCTGCCAAGAAGCCCTAAGCATGAATGAGCTGACAGGCAGGAGACGTCTTTGCAGTCGAAAACACTTGGTGATCTCAGATACGAGGCCAGTGACAAAGAGAGTGACTAGTATGCTGACAAATAAGTCGTCATCCAGTTCTCCCCGAGCTCAAGGTTCTAGAGCGTGTTCGGCTCGCCCAAGATGGCGGGGTATATGGTGTCAGATTGACCCCACCTCATGTGCCTTGATCAATTCACAACCTGCACTTTCTGTTATTTCCATCCTATCTATCATAGTTTCTGAGCCATGGCGAGCACTCAGCTGAAGAAACTCGAGCTCCCCACCTCCAAAGCCCATGTCTTCTACCGCGAAGCAGGAGCAGCGTCAGCCCCGGTCATCCTCCTCCTGCACGGCTTCCCCTCATCCTCGCACCAGTACCGCAACCTCATCCCAATCCTGGCCGCAAAATACCGGGTCATCGCGCCCGATCTACCGGGCTTCGGCTTCACTGAGGTCCCCGAGGGGTTTGCGTACACCTTTGACGCGCTTGCCACCGTCATCGCGGAGTTTCTCGACCGCCTCGCCATCCGCCAGTACTCCATCTACATCTTCGACTACGGCGCCCCCGTCGGTCTGCGCTTGGCGCTGCAACAGCCGGCCGCCATCCAGGCCATCATCACGCAGAACGGCAACGCCTACGAGGCCGGGCTGGGCGCCTTCTGGGACCAGATCCGGGCGCTCTGGACCAGCGACAACGATGCGGCCGTCCGAGGAAAACTCGCGGCAGGCCTGCTGAGTCTCGCCGCCACCAAGTGGCAGTACGAGGAGGGGACGGCCGCGGACCGCGTCGTGGCGCCCGAGTCCTACTCGCTGGACTATGCCCTGCTCCAGCGTCCGGGCAACGCGGACATCCAGCTGGATCTGTTCTATGACTACCGCACAAATCTCCCGCTGTACCCGGAGTTCCACCGGTACTTCCGCGCGTCGCAGGTGCCCCTGCTGGCGGTCTGGGGCAAGCATGATCAGATCTTTGTGCCGGCGGGAGCCGAGGCGTTCAAGGCCGACTTGCCCGAGGCGGAGGTGCATCTGTTGGATGCGGGCCACTTTGCGGTGGAGACGGAGACGGCGGAAATCGGGGGGTTGATCCTTGACTTTTTGGCAAGGAAGGGGATCTAATATTAGGTGAATGATCTGGATTGTAGCCTCCTGCCACTGGTGGGGTCGATGGGGACGCGCTTGTGTGGACGGCACTCTTGCATTGTTTATGCTGCATCATGGCTGAACAGCCTAAGTGTTGGTTTTGCGTAATTCGTCGAAAATATCTATTACATCGGAGCCCTAATGCAACCTCATACTATATAGATGATATTTTCGGAGGGATCGATTCGAAAGTATAGCCCAGAAGGGACTGGAGGCTATGGGTAATACTGACTCGTACGTGTGTTAAAGAGGCGACAATATTCTAGCATACGAACATGAACACCGCAATTTAAGTAGAACATGTGTCTGATATGATGACCGACTTGGAAGGTACAAGGCTTGATTGACATGGATGAGTGGTATGCCACCACCAGTATCATTTGTGAGGACTTTACTTGCTGCAAGCTGTACTCAGATACCATGATAGATGATGAGCAACTCATCAGAGGTCGTTGATTGACTCGTAGATCTTGGGTTTGCATATATTGAGGGCCTCGTCGCAATAACAGCCGGCGGGGCACCAGGGATGCTTCCAGGTGCAGTAACCACCGCACTGAGCGATTTGGAATTTTGTCACCATTTCTGGGTATCCGTAGGAACTAGGTAGCAATGCATATATGAATAGATTACTGATCAATAGTAGGTTCATTGTTAAGAACTCTTCACTATATAGTTCGCTGAGAGGTTTTAAGTTGGATGTGATGTAGATGAAGTCCAAGGTCAGATAGAATCAACATGAAACGGGTTGATGGCCGTTGAAATAGCTAAACCTAATAAGCTCAGGTCTATGACTCACATACAACAGCAAGACCACGAATCAGTTACCGCGAGCAGACACCATTCGTGTTATGCTGCAATGGTGGTGATGCTTCACGTGGTATGACATCATATCACATGACATCCAAGGTATATGACTGTTTAGCATAATACGAGGTGATTCTGATATATCCATAGAAGAACATCTATAATCCGGGAGCATTTAGAGTAATGAAGCAAATGGTGTATGAAAGGTGAGGTCGATTGAGTAGGTAGCCCTATCAAAATAGCACGCGCTGCCGGCTGCATCATGCTCAAGATTCGAGCCCGGTTGGCACGCTCCAGTGTGACTCTAGCCCAATCTACAGTGGCGGTTTAATCCGAAGAGCTGCGACAAGAGATATTTGGGCGATACTACTGCCGATATCTCGATCAAAGTCATGGACGAAACATAATGGCTGCGTTTAACAATGAGAGGATCCTGTCCGGATATTGAGGGGTCAGAGCATTCAATGACCCGCGAGCAAGAAGTGAGCCTTGTCTTTCAGCTGGTCTATACTTGAATACGTTCCCTGCTAATACTTCGCAATGATCGGTCCACATAGCACACCCTCAACATCTGGAAAGGAGGCAGGCCAACATAGGTCTGGGTTCTCGGGATTGAAGAAATAGTATTTATGAGCCTGCCAGGCTGCGATGGAGTAGATAACCCAGCCCAGATGGAGGATCTCGATCTTGGCATTCAGATCATTTTCCGTGATCGAACCCATATCAGCGTCGCGGGGTAACAGGAATGACTGTCCAAAGTCGGCTACTTTGAGCTCCTCGTTCAGAACCAAGATATTGCGGAGACCAACGTCATCCACGAAGACTTTGCAGAAGTGTATATATGCGAAAGACTCGATCAAGCTTGCAATTCACCTTAGCTTCAAGGCATCCTCCCGCTCAGGATACTCGTTGAGATGGGACTCGAGATCCCCTTGCGCTCGGGCCAGCTCGATGCCATACTGGGAGGTTCGGTAGCATGGGATTATGCCTTGGTGACGGCCCAGGCGTTCGAAGACGTCAATCTCATTCTTCAAGGTCTCCCGGTTGATCTCGTTGAGGTATTCGGTATCCTCGGGGTCGCGGGTCGGCCCCGGGTGATGGCGCTTAGCCTTCTTGACCACCCGCTCTTGCCCTAGTTCATGAATGACCCCAGTCAGGCCAATGCCCATGACTGGGAGATTGATGTAAGGGTCATTTGAGAGTAAACAATGTTGAGTCGTGCTCGGTTGGATGAGGGTGGGAATGGGCTGCATCTTTTCGTCAGACTGTCTTGAGTGGGCCTGACACGATGACCCAGGCCTTGCGTCGTCGGCTTGGGCTATTAGATGTTCGTGCTCGAGCTGCATGTCTTGCGGAATGGTAGGAAAATAGCACGGTAGGAGGAGTTGACATTAGAAGATGCCACCCCGGGAAGGGACAGATATTCAAACAATGGGCGGCTGGGCTGAGACCTGGCTGTCTGCATGGCTGCAGCATTGGCATTTCCAATAGGCAATAGATCGGCGCTGGCACTTTATTCATATTCCCAGAACTATATATAGAGCGCTACAAGGACACTCAATCTAGGAACCTTCGTTTCTGTTCATTATACACAAAAGCAAAAAGCACAACCGAAAGAAAAATAACAAGAAACAGACACAGTGAAATTTCTTGCACGCTGCATCATCCCCGAATCAGGGCGAAGAGGTCAGAGACATCCTCCAAGTCCTCCAACGAAAGCACAGCCTCCTCCAGCCGTTGCATGCGAGCGTTATCGCCCACAGTCCGCGCCAGCCTGCGCCATTTCTCGCGAATCTCCTCGTCAGTGATCGGCGGGTCAAATCCACGGGGCATGACCACGGTCTCCTCCACCGTCACCCCGTCCGCGAATTCCACAACCACCCTTGCTCCGCAGAGATGGTTAGGCCGGTCAAACTCCTCGTCACGGACGCAAGTCGTTTTGCGAATCAACTCCCAGACGCGATCATCGTCCAACGCCGCCGCGTCGAACTGCTCCAGCAGCACCTGTCCGTACACCAGCTGCGCCGCCCCGATGTACGCCGCGTTCATCTGGGCCCCTGTGGCCGTGAGCGGCCGCTCAGCGGGCACCCAGCCATCATGCGCGAAGACCGGCTCCGACAGCGCTACCCGCATACTCTGAATTTGCTGCAAATTCTCCAGGGCGAACCGATCCGGGTACGTCTCCTGCAGCCGCTCCAACGCCTCGACCTGCCCGTGACAACCCCCAACACAGGCATGCAACTTCACCCGGATGTGGGTGGTCTGCCAGACCCGCCCCAGCCCCGCGATCACCTCTTCAGGCTGGTAGGGCGGCTCGCGCCCGTTGCCCTGGCTGAACATGGCCAGAAACCCGCCGTAGGGCCGCTCGAACACCTTCCGGATGCCCAGGTAGCCGTTGCGCGCCAGCAGCGCCCCGAACAGCCCGTTGCGCGCCGCGAACGCATGCTGCACCCGCTTGATCATCCCCTCGTACTGGGCTGCCATCAGCCCACCAGCCTGCGTGCATGCGATGCCAATGGCTGACTCGGTGGCTGCGCTGTCGATGTTAAGGAGTTTCGCGGCGGCGACGGCGGCGGCGGGGCAGCCGAAGATCGGGCCCGAGTGCCAGCCGCGTGAGAGGAGCTCGGCCCCGTACATGGCGGCGCCGGCGCGGGGCCCGGTTTCGAAGCCCACGATTGCTGCGGTGAGGAGTTCGAGGCCCGAGACGACTCGTCGGGGCTGCTTTTGGCTACCGTGCGATTGGACCTCGGCTGCGGCGAAGAGGGCTGGGAGGATGACGCTGGCTGAGTGGAGCGGGGCGGCGCTGTGGTAGTCGTCTAGCTCGACGGCTTGGATGAATGCCCCGTTGAGGATGGCGGCGGCCAGGGGTCCGTATTTCTGGTGTGCATGAGTGTTCGATACTCGGTGGAAGCTGTGGACAAGGGTCAGACCTTGTTGGAGTCCAGCACACTGCAGTAGCCGGCAGGCTCGTAGTCGTCGATGGCATCGATGCACTTCTCCGACCACGGAACGTGCGCGCCTACTAATCCGCAGGCTATGCCGTCGAGGATGAGATGCTTTGCGCGTTGGAGCACATGGGTGGGGATATCAGAGGCTTGAAGGGATGTGACCCAGTCGCAGAGCTCTGCGGTGACCGGTTGCTCTTGAGGGGCAGATTTGGAGGTGGTCATGCTGGTATGCTGATATGTTGATATCCTTCGATCTTGATCTTGAGGTTATCTTAAGAGGGGGATTGATGATGCTATATAGATTGAGCGTCCGTACTGGAGAGTGCGCACATCTCCCGGCCCCGGCCTGCATGATGCCTGTACCGGCCCGCTACCGGCATCACTTCTTACCCCCGGCCGATCATGCAATGCAGTTTGATGCATATCTCCGAGGACCGAAAAAGACAATCAAGTATGATTCGGCAAGATGCACCAATCCACTTATGCTTCACATACTACCATATTGTTCTGCCGGGACAGGCACCTCCGCATATCAATCCGGCATCATGATCCGACATGGTGACGTTATCTTCCATCAAGCAAAGGCCCCATGCCCATTGCCTGACAAAAGCAGCCTTCCCACAGAAGCTACACTCCAACCTAACGCCAACGCCTCTCAAATTGATACCTGAGAAGCACAGCAGCACGCCTGCTTTTCAACAAAAGTGGTCCGGACTAACTACGCCACACTAACCATCGCCAAGCAGCAGCAGCAGCAGCAACAACGACGCTCAATCATACTCATAACACAAATACCCGCCCACCGGATTCATCACATCCTCCACCGTGACCCCCGGCAGGATCTCATACGACTCCAGCTTATACTCCAGCGTCGTCTCCGGCCAACCCTCCGCCGGAGTAGGCAGATCCGTGGCATTGACCGAGGCCCCACCCATCGCGAACAGTCGGGAGTCCGGGTCGACCATCTGCCAGGTATACCACAGGCGGTCGATGAAGGCGTGGTGGATGTAGAACATCGGGTCGCCGGGGGAGGCCTTGACGTCTGCCATCTACAGTCCACAATATCAGCGTCAGTATCGTCGTCACCTTCCCAAACCCGATGTCCCCCACTACAAGAAGAAGGATGACAACGCACCAAGCCCCCAACAGCCTGATGCACCCCCTTGTGCGGATACGAGGCCACGCACTGCCAGAAGGGCGTGTAGCCGGTCAGATCGAAGCACTGGCCCACCATCGTGCTGTTGACGTTTCGAACTCCCAAGGCGGAATTCCACTCGCGCTCCAGACACCGCTCCGTGTTGTTGTCGTACGGCCCGATGTACTGCGTCAGATCGGCGAAGCGTCCGTCCGCCACGCAGTTGGCGGGCTCCGTGCCGTCGCCCCCGAGGGAATCGTCGTGCCACATCGGCGAGCGGAACAGGTCCCCTGTGTCGGCGTCGGCTTGTTCGTTCCACCACCTATCCACCAGTCATTTAGTGGGGCCGGGAGATGTACAAGGTAGGGAGAAGGGGGCGTACACCATCGGACCCTCGTATCCGCACTCCGTCCGGAGGAGTGTCTCGTGGATGTGCAGCAGGTATCTATGCCAGGGGAGGAATTGGCCCTGGCCATTTCTTCATCTCAGTGATGTGAGTACACCCGGTGGCTGGAAGGTACGCACCACGTTATGGATCACATCGCCGTACTCGGTGTTGGTGTAGTACCGATGCAGCGCCTGCAGATCGCTCCATCGGCTCGTCGTGTAGGCCATCCCCGTCTCCCCGGAAAGATCGATCAGGCATTGCACCGCGTCCAGGTAGGCTTCCTGCTGCGAGCGGTCGAGGTTGCGCCATTCCTTGCGGGTTTGGAGCCGCTCGCGCGTGCAATCACCGCCGTAGAGGTTGGAGTCGACGGTTGGGCCGGGCCGGGGCGGTTGACTGGCTGTCGCCAGGGTTAGGAAGCTGAGGATAAGGGAGTGTCTCATTGTGGATGGTGAGGGGGAAAGAGGCTGGGTCAGTATAGGTCAGGAGGGAGGTGAGCAGCGAAGAAAGGAAACAAGGGCATCTACCAGGCAGAGTTGAACCTGCGAAGTTGTGTCTTGATCTACGGCTTGATAGCGAGTGAGACATTCGTACAGCGGTCCAGGGACTGGCCATCGATAGCAGCTAGCCTGCATTCTTCGAACCAGGAAAAATCACTGCTTTTTCTCGGCTGTGTCTTCCGAAGAATGCGGGCTCGGTACAATCCTCCTATCAGTTCTGGGGCACTGTAGTCGGGGCAAGATATGCCCCCCGCTGTACCGTTGCCATGGCTATGCAGCTGGAATGCTGGCGTGGAGTTGTTGTTTGTCTCTTCCACTTCGCGTCGTTAACTGGGAATTCTTCCACTGAATGATTCTCAGGATCAAAAGAGCTAGATTAAGTCGGCACCCAGCACAACTATTGCAAATCTCTGAAAATTGTATATCCCCGTCGTGGTAGTTGACTCTGAACCCGCCCGTCAGATATCGGGATGGGTCTTTGCAAGGCATAATGAGTAGATGCTCGGAAATACATCTTACGCACTCGGGGGGTGTAAGGACCAAGGTTGGACTCAAAATCAGCACAGGATATAAATTAGATATCGTAGTCTAAAAGATTTGATAGCCGCAACAGGAACATCGCTTTTCGAACCATCCAGCATATTAGGGTATTAAAAAGACATTATCGTAAACACCAGCCAGCCCCCCGCCCCCAATTCCACTCCCCTCAGCATAGCAAATAAGCAGCTCACAGCATCGTTCCCTTGTTCTGCTTCTTATCGACATTGTAGTGCCTCCACATGATGACAGACGGGAAGGCCAACACCAAAATCGCCGTGGCCGCGATCGCCTGATACTTCTCCATGTAGCCCCAAGCGTAGTTGATGGCATCGCGCACCTCCGTGCCAGGAGCGTACTTCATCTGCGTCAGGTACCCACCGGCAATCAGCGTCTCCAGATCGGCCTGAGCACTGGCAGGAAGGGCACTCTTCAGACCATCCCGGAAGGTGTTGCTGTAGATCGAAGCGGAGACGGCCGCGCCAATGGCACCGCCGATGCTGGTGAACAGACTGACGATAGACAGCATGATGGGGATATTCTCGCGCGAGGAGGCGCACATCACCGCCATCTGGAAGCTGATGACCATCATTCCGCCGGAAAAGGCGATGAAGATCTGGCACATGATGATATAGCCAATATCCGCATCCTGGCCGCGGAAGTG